GCAGGGAGCCCGATGCGGGGCTCGATCCCAGGACCCTGGGATCATGACCCGAGCCGAAGGCAGACGCTTAACGACTGAGCCACCCAGGCACCCCTATGTTGAATAATTATATTTGTACTGTCTTTCTGACTGGTGCAGACTGAACGGAGTCAGGACGCCTATCTGCATAAGCATGTGGATGGAAGTGGCTCAGTAGCACTTAGATGTTTTCTTTAGCATTACCCCTAAGATAATTTTCTGTCCAGAATGATGAATCTAAAACCCCTATCCTTTTACTGTTAGAAAAATTATAGGTTTCATTTTAGTTATGAGTTTTAGAGGATGGCTTAGATTATCTGTAGTATAAAACTTGATGGAGTTCTAACTATACAAAGAATCATGTAGGATATGATTACCAGTTATTTCCAGTTTGCTTAAAGTTCCTTTTCCCATTAAAGAGGAAGAATCTAACATTACCTTAGTATGATACATTTTTACATGAACTGTCTCAAAGCAAATACTAATACTCAAAGCTGTGAGGTGGTATTTTTTTTTTTTTTTAAATAGATGAGACAGTATTAGTAACTGAATAACTAGTTAATAACATGGTTGGATTTATATTCTGGTGTGTCTTCTACCTAGTGTGGGCAAACGTTTTCAGCTCTACCACCATTGAGTGCTTATATCAATATTGTTGGACACAGATTAAGGGAATTTTAAATACCCACTGCAGTTGGTATTACGTTTTTATTGTTCAAAAAATGATTTGAGGTGTGTGGCATCTTACATACTTAGAGCTTTACCAGTGTTTGGGTGTCCATCTGCTGGTATTTTAAGGAAGCAATATATTTGAGTGTAGTTTTTAATGGCTATAATGTAGAGCAGGGTTTTTCATCCTTGGTGTTATTAACATGTTGGGCTGAATAATTTTTTTGTGGCTAGCTGTTCTATGCATTGTGGGATGTTTAGCAGCATCCCTGCCCTTTTCTCAGTAGTTTCAGTTGCACTCCCCCATGTGAAAACTGAAATCTCTCCAGACACTGCCAGATGTCTTCTGGTGGTGCAGTGTTTTCCTTAGTTGAGAACCACTGGTGTAGGGTGACTTGGCTTTTTCAAAGTCTGCTGAATAAATGAAAAGTTTTTGTTGGCATTGCAGGGCTCTGTTGCAAATAAGTTCTACGTTCACAATGATATCTTCAGATACCAAGATGAGGTCTTTGGTGGCTTTGTCACTGAGCCTCAGGAGGGTAAGTTACTTGTCTAAATTTTTTTTTGATGGCATCAGGTTGACTTGAAGACAGTATGGGTTTCTTGAAAAAAATTTTTTTTTAAGATGTTATTTATTTATTTGACAGGGAGAGACACAGCGAGAGAGGGAACACAAGCAGGGGGAGTGGGAGAGGGAGAAGCAGGCTTCCTGCCGAGCAGGGAGCCCCATGTGGGGCTCGATCCCAGGACCCTGGGACCATGACCTGAGCCGAAGGCAGATGCTCAACGACTGAGCCACCCAGGCGCCCCATTGAATGTTTTTATTATACTCTATATTCTTCATTAATAACTTCTAATTGTCAAGACGGAGGAAGGGTCTGCGTTTTTAACCTACATGGAGCTAATAGGTTAGCCTATTTCATGGAAGACCTGAAACTCCTAAGTCAGTAGTAGGTATACTCACTGCAACAGTGTTAAGCATTTTTGCCACAATTTCCACGGGACAGCATGAAGTCCAGATGATACCTGCATTGGAGTAGGGTGCATTATAGGAGTGGAACCCTAAGTTTAAGGAATCAAAATCTTTTATAATGGGCAGTAAACATACCTGCCCTTTGCTCTAGAGGGAGACACTGTTTTTCTGAGGCTGTTTGCTGTATAAATGTTCTTAAAAGATAGTTTGAAACAAAGGGTAGCCATTGCCTTAGTTGTAAGATGTGCAGATACGTGAGAAACCCATGACGAATTGCCTCTAAACACTAATAATAATCAGTTTATTAGTGTTTTCTGTATGGCTGAAATGATTCTAAGTGCTTTATATTTATTGTGTAATACAACAGGTTTATAGATAAGTACTTTAAGTACTATTCTTATTTAATGGATTAGGGCACTGAGATGCAGAGAAGTAATTCACCTGATACTGTATATCTAGTTAGGTGGTAGAGCCTGCATTGGATTATGGACAGTATGACCTCAGACTCCCATGTTCTCAGCCCAAACACTATAATTAAGCCTTAATTCTGTCCTTAAAGCCTTTGCCATGATATTACCAATTTGCTGTGCTTTATCTATATATATATGTGTGTGTGTGCTTATTTCATTACTTCTTTTTTTTTTTTAGTTTCGTGTGTAAGATACAGTGATTCCATACTTCCATACAACACCTAGTGCTCATCACAAGTACACCTTTTAATCCCCAACACGTATTTAACCCATTCCTCCATCCACCTCATTACTTTGTTGATCATGATGAGCATTGTGAAAGTGAATATAAAGCTGACCTTTGAACAACATGGGGGTTAGGGGCACTGCCACTTCCCCACCCCCCCCGAAAATCCCCATTTAACTTTTGACTCTACAAAAACTTAACTACTAATAGTCTCCTGTTGACTGGAAACTTTACTGATAAACGGTCAATTAACACATATTTTGTATGTTGTATGTATTATATATTCTTAAGGTAAGCTAGAGAAAAGGAAATACTATTAAAACTCTAAGGAAGAGAAAATACATTTACGGTACTGTACTGTATTTATCAAGAAAAATCTGCGTATAAGTGGACCTGCACAGTTCAAACCCTCTTGTTCAAGGGTCATGTGTATTTGAGAATTAAATAAGCACGAATTACTTGAAATTTGTTTTTTTATATAGAATCTGAGGAAGAGGTAGAGGAACCTGAAGAAAGACAGCAGACACCTGAGGTGGTACCTGATGATTCTGGAACTTTCTATGATCAGACTGTCAGGTAAGAAAAGCTTTGTTCATCTGTCCAGAGCTGCATGAGAATTTAGGTTGTCTCGTCTTTCCCTTTGTTGGAGGGCAGTCATATTCTCTCAGAATTATTTCAGAATATAACAGTAATTTCCTAGAAGAAAGGTTTTGCTTTTGACATCACTGAGCTAAAATTGTGATTTATTATGAGAGGCTTTTTTGATGGTAAAAATTGCATAATATAAAATTTACCTTCTTAACCATTTTTAAGTGCATTGTGTAGTATTGTTTAATTATATGCACATAGTTATGCAACCAGATCTCTAGAACTTCTCATCTCTCAAAACTAAAACTATATCCATTAAAAAACTCTTTTTCCTCTTACGCACAGCCTATTAGTCTTTTGTTATGTGTGGTAGGTAAATGGTGAGAGTTTTGGGATTATAACAAACCATGATTTGATTCATTTTGATCTATTTTGATGTATTTGCTTATCAGAATTTAGCAAATCTGATTGCAGTTAAGATTTGCTCATTGAGTGCTCTTCTAAAAAATTGTCTTTTTTTAATATTCAGATATGGAATTCCTAGATTTTTTTTGGAGAGCTATTTTTTGGTTCAGGTTTCTATAGTTAATAAATACTTGGGAATTTCTTGCTAAATCAGTAGAGTCAGAATGATATTTCTCTAATTTTCCTGTGAAAGCAATGACTTAGAAGAACATTTAGAGGAACCTGTTGCTGAACCGGAGCCAGATCCTGAACCAGAACCAGAGCAAGAACCTGTATCTGAAATCCAAGAGGAAAAGTCTGAGCCAGTATTGGAAGAAACTGCCCCTGAGGATGCTCAGAAGAGTTCTTCCCCAGCACCTACGGACATAGCTCAGACAGTACAGGAAGACTTGAGGGTATGCAATATGTCTTTCTTCTTACTCTATTTCTGGTTGATTTTTAAAAATCTCTCTTCTCCTTTATTACTGTTACACTGATTTTTGTAGGTACATTTTTTGGTTCAGGGAAATTTCTTACATATTGAGCCATCCCTCAGATAAGTAAGATGCATATTGTTTTATAAAAGTAACTTTCCTCTTCTCCCAAGGAAACTTGAATACTTTTTATTAGACCAGAAATTTCAGGTGTTACTTTATCACCATATTAATAACCCCTCATTTTTTAAATATTTTGTTTCAAATTATGACATGCTTGTTAGAACCAATAAGAGAGAATGTATCTTTTTGAAAAACATCATGGCACAATAGACTTACTCCTGCTTTTTTTCTGAAATCTAATTGAGGATAACTTTACAGTAGAAGTAGAAACAAACTATGAAATATAGCTACTTTTTTATTTAGAATACTTGATTTCAAAAGTTTGAAGCTTTTCAGTTAGTCCTGAGTCTCATCAGGGTGATGTTAACTGAAATCATAGAACCTTTACATTTGTGAAGGAATATGTTTTAATGCTTTATTTATGGGGTCAGGGTTCTTATGTCATTTATCTAATAGTTAATTCAGGTGCTTCTGTGTGAGGCATTGTTCTAGGTATGGGAACTATTGGTTAAACCGATAGTGTTCTTGGTCTCTCTCTAGCAGTAATGAGGTGAATAGGAAAGAGAAATGTGAAATGACTTCAGCTTGCCAGTAGAAAAGTAGGTTGGCTGGATTGGGAAGGAATGACTAATTAGGTGGCTATTGTAGTAGTCCTGGAGATAAATACTGATAACCTGGGATGAAGGTTGTGGCAGTGAAGATAACGAGGTAAATAGCAAGATTTGGTAAGTTTGATATGGATTAAAAAGGTGTTCAAGGTAATTCTAAAGTTTGTCATTGAATTGATGTTTGTGCCATCAGTTGGAATCATAGGAAGAGCTGGTTTTGGAGGAATTTTCTTTGATTCACAAACTTGAAATTGAGTGAAACGAGCTTCTTAGGACTAAACTTTTCATATTTTGCTGTACTTGATGACTAGTTCTAGGGAATTTTAGTACTAAATTTTGTAAGTAGGGGGAGAAAAGGAATCTAGAGATACTTACAAAGTAACTCCATTCTACCTGTGAAAATGTGATTCATATGTATAAGAAATGAAGAACTAATAGCTTTTATATTGTTTTGATATGGGTAATCAATTAATGTTATTCCCTTAGACATTTTCTTGGGCATCTGTGACCAGTAAGAACCTTCCACCCAGTGGAGCTGTTCCAGTTACTGGGATACCACCTCATGTTGTTAAAGTACCAGCTTCACAGGTGAGTTTCTAAGCTTGTATATTAGGCCCATTTGCTTGTATTTCATGTAATTTGGTTTCACATAGGTTTAGAGAATGTGGGAGCTGGTACATAGAGTAGAGAAGAGGTGGTTTTTAATAATTTCTTTTGTGAGAGAATTGTCATTTTCTTTTATTTATTTGAGAGAGAGCATGAGCGTGCACTTGTGCGCGAGGGGAGGAACAGGGACAAGCCCACTCTGCACTGACTGCAGAGCCCCACATCGGGCTCAATCCCAGGACCCTAAGATCATGACCTGAACTGAAACCAAGAGTCGGATGCTCAGCCGACAGCCACCCAGGCACCCCTGTCATTTTCTCTTTTAAACCTTATTGTTAGCTAAGAAACTTTACAAGAAAAAAGGTCAGCTTGCTTTGTTTTTACACAGACGTTGACTTATAAATTTTTCAGCCTCGTCCGGAGTCTAAGCCTGAGTCTCAGATTCCACCGCAGAGGCCTCAGAGGGATCAAAGAGTGCGAGAACAACGAATAAATATTCCTCCCCAGAGGGGACCTAGACCAAGTAAGAGCTCAGAAGGGTGACTTGTCTAGTTTGGGGGAATTTGAGGTGAGAGCTTGTGTCTTAAGGGTGGTTGATATTTTCTACTTTAAAAAATTCTGGAGCTGGGGGAATTACCTGGGTTTAGGGGTGGAGAAAAAAATTATTGAATGAAATAGTCACTGAAAAATGTCTTTCTCTGTCTTTCATTGCTATTTTTGTTTAAGTCCGTGAGGCTGGTGAGCAAGGTGATGTTGAACCCCGAAGAATTGTGAGACACCCTGATAGTCACCAACTTTTCATTGGCAATCTGCCACACGAAGTGGACAAATCGGAGCTTAAAGATTTTTTTCAAAGTAGGTTGAGTTTTACGTATTTTTAATTTATACATTTTTTTTTTTTTTTTAAAGATTTAAGAGTGAGAACAAGAGGGGGGATTGTGAGAAAGAGTGGGGGCGGGCAGAGGGAGAAGCAGATTCCCTGCAGAGGAGGGAGCTCAATGCGGGACTCGATCCCAGGACCCTGGGATCATGACCGGAGCCGAAGGCAGATGCTTAACTGACTGAGCCACCCAGGTACCCAAGTAGGTTGAGTTTTAAACACTAGATTCATCCGCAGTGTTGTCCAATAGAAATAGATGGGCCACATACATAATTTTAAGTTTTCTAGTGGCCACATTTTTTTTTTTTTAAAGATTTTATTTATTTATTTGAGAGAGAGAATGAGAGTGGGGAGCGGCAGAGGGAGAAGCAGACTCCCCGCCGAGCAGGGAGCCCGATGCGGGACTCGATCCAGGGACTCCAGGATCATGACCTGAGCCGAAGGCAGTCGCTTAACCAACTGAGCCACCCAGGCGCCCCACATTTTATTTTTTTTAGTGGTCACATTTTAAAAAGTTAAAAAGAAATCTGAATTTAATTTTAATATTTTATTTAACCCAATGTATCTAAAACATCATTTCAGCATGTAAAAATGAGAGAGATTTTATGTTTTTCTGTACTAAAAGTTTTTGAAGTTCAGTGTGTATTACACTTAATGGTACTTCTTGTTTCGGAATTGCCACACTTCAAGTGGTCTGTATCCACATGTGACTAGTGGCTATCAGTGGATAGTGTGTATGTAATATTTAAAGGGAATGTTCTAACCAGTTATTTGAGAGTCTGCGTTTCGCTTGCAGGTTATGGGAATGTGGTGGAGCTACGCATTAACAGCGGCGGGAAATTACCCAATTTTGGTTTTGTTGTGTTTGATGATTCTGAGCCTGTTCAGAAGGTCCTTAGCAACCGGGTAAGCAGTTTTTCATCTTGATTTGTTTTTTTGTTTTTTTTAAACAAGAGTATCTTGGATCTTTGAATGTATTCATCCTTAAAACTATGTCTTCTAAATAAAGTACAGTTGATTCCAACATGTTTGGGTTATCTATTCCATGGTGATTGGCCATTACTGTTAAAAGACTTGCCTGGGAGTTTAACAAAACTTATGTCTAAATATCTTAATTTTGGAGCCACTGAATGTGAAGAGATGAAATAACTAATAGTTACCAATGCACTGAAATTTATGCAGATTTCTTTCCTTGCGGGGGGGTGGTTCTGGTTTAGGAGATGAACTACAATGTTAACTTTTAGCTGAGATAACTTAAAAGTCAATTTTCCCCGGGCAGTTTTGATATATGGCTGTTATCTGGGTCTAACTATGAGGAGCTTCTCCTTTTATTCTATAAGTTGTCTAGGTTTGGAGTCACCCTGCCTGGAACCACTTTTATTAACAGATCGCTTCTTAACAGTACTTTTTAATCATAAGAGGGATTTTGTAGAATTGGAATCTTATTACTTTGTATTTCTTAAGGAACCCTTCCCTTCCCCTACATCTTTCATTAGCAAAAAAAAAAATCAGTTTTTAGTAGTAATAGTAGAGAAGAACAAAAGTGTAAATATTTATTTACTGAGATGGGTGTGGGAGTTTAAAAATCCCACTTTTTAAAAAAAATTGAGGTGAAATTCACATAACATAAAGTTAACCATTTTAAGGTGTAAAATTTAGTGGCTTTTAATACATGTTGTGCAAGCATCACCTGTCTTGCTACAAAACATTTTTATCAAAAGTAAACCATTTATCCATTAAGCAGTCCTTTCCCATATCTTCTCTCCCCAGCCCTTGGCAACAACTAATCTTTCAGTCTCTGCAGATTAAAACTATGTACATTTTATTAACCATGAAATAGAAATGTTGTAGATCATTATTTCCCAGAGGTTCTATAGAATCTCTGATGTTCTTCACAGTGTTGATGGCTATACTGTAAAATTTAATGTTGTGGTTCTAACGTTATATGAGCTTTAATCTGCAAATGTGTATTTAATCTTTCAAACTATTTGACCACTTTTTGTGAAGCATCTCCTGCAAAACACTTAGAAATGAGGAGAGAACAGTGGTTTATCTTAGCATAGCCACAGAATACTGAACCTAGAAATGTCGCATAGGCTTTGTGCATAAATCCATCATTCAGCATGCAAAAAAGATCCAGTGGCCAGCCTTTTTGGTGCAGGCTTGAATTGATCCTTAGAGGGTCTGATATTCCCAGTGGGCCAAAAGAGGTCAGACCTGATAACTGGCTTCTTAATTGTCCAAGGTAAGGAGTTTGTTTCATTTAATGCACCTGGATAAGCTGTGGCATCTTTATGCTTAAGAATATTTTGAAATAAAATTTCCTCAGAAAGGAGCTATATGTTTGGTACATTTTTCTCATTCAAATTACTTTTACCCTTGTGGTAACTCCTCAGAGATGTCTTCAGTTACTACCTTTTAAAACATACCCAGCCCCAACCTCTCTCCTTATCTTTCAGACTTTAGTATGGTGGTGTTTTTTTCATTGTATGTAGAATATTGCCTGGAACAGGACTTCAGATTAATGTGTTTGAAGAGGTTTATATAGTGTGAATATTAAAATGTTAAACAGATTTTTAATATTTTAATGTTAATGTACTTATGAATGTACAAATACAAATATGCATTTAATCAGAATTTTATTTTTTGTTTTTGTTTTTTTTTAAAGATTTTATTCATTTGAGAGAGTGAGCGGGAGTGGGAGAGAGGAGAGTGCAGGGGGAGGGGAGACGGAGAAGCAGGCTCCCCATTGAGTAGGGAGCCTGATGCAGGGCTCAATCCCAGGACACCAGTATCATGACCTGAGCAGAAGGCAGTTGCTTAACTGACTGAGCCACCCAGGCACCCCTAATCAAAATTTTAAATATGTTACAGTTAGAGTTCTAAAGAGGCCTTTCTGGGGCGCCTGTGGTTTAAAGTGTATACTTGCCTGTCAGGATGCCTTCATTTACATTCTGCTTCCATTGTTCATTATGTTGTGACCTGTGGGTTAGTTCCTTAACCTTCCTGGCCCTTAGTTTGCTGGTCTCTCAAGTAGGTGTAATGACAGCCCTCATATGGTTGTGAATGTTAAATGAGATAATAGGTGTGAAGTATACAGAACACTTCTCTCCATAGTAAGCACTGTTAGATATTTACTTTTAAAAAATATGTCACTTAGAAAACCAGTGCGTGCCAGTGAGGAGCATAAATTGAATTCATTGTAATCTCGAGTAACCCTTTATTTTCTACTTTAGATCTGTTGGACTAAAAGGCAGGCCCAAGACGTAGGATATATCTTTTTTTCCTTTGCTGAGCTCTGTTATCTTTATTATCTTCAGTATTTTCCAAAATTTTGTTAAGGCAAATAGCATTTTGTTACAGTTTTGTTTAGATGGAATTAATGATGTTTTTGAGATGGATATGTACTTTGCATAAATAATGTGCAGCACAGTCTTTCCACATTAGGTGATGATGGAAGATTATTCTAAGCCTTCAAATCCATGGGGAAGGTGGCAATTCTTATTTATATTCAATAATGTAATTCTATGGGAAAGTAAGATTTGCTCTAGGAAGTACGAGAGTTACTCGTGCTGCTGTGTTGTAAATTGTCTTTTTTTGAACTAGCTTGCATACCTAACTCCTCCCACCTTTGCATGTATTTGTTAATTGGGAGAATTACGTGTTCTGAGTTGGAAATAAAAACTGAACTGAGAACATAGCTGATTTGTAAGCTGCTGGTTCTTTTTGTAATAGCTTTCTTGATATTTGGTAGTTGGAAGCCCATAAGCACATAAGCACTGTGTAAGTCTGCTTACCTTGATTCCTGCAGCCCATCATGTTCAGAGGTGAGGTCCGTCTGAATGTGGAAGAGAAGAAGACCCGAGCTGCCCGGGAAGGGGACCGTCGAGATAACCGCCTGCGGGGACCTGGAGGCCCTCGAGGTGGGCTGGGTGGTGGAATGAGAGGCCCTCCCCGTGGAGGCATGGTGCAGAAACCAGGATTTGGAGTGGGAAGGGGAATTGCTCCAAGGCAGTGAATTGCTCTTCAGTTGATCTTCACGCAGCAGTACAAATCTCCTAGCTCCTGCAGAATGGTGAATTTCTTACACCAGCGTTTGGTATCCTGGAGTTTGATCCTAGTTTATTATAAACTGCTTAAGTTTGTACAATTTTACTTTTTGTGTTAATTATGTGTGCTCCCTTTCCCGCCCTTCCCTCTCCTCACCTTTTAGTCCTTCACTTCCAATTTTGTGGAATGATATTTTAGGAAAAACAGATTTTTAAAGAAGAGAAAAAGACTGAATTTCCTTGCTTTACTTTTGCATATACAGACTGGATTTTTTTTAACAGCCGTTTCCCCAAAGGAATGTGTCTTGCTTATTACTGACATTTGGTATGTTTCATTCATTGGAATATTTCTTATTTTCTATGTGTTTCAAAAGCCTGTGAGAAACACAGGATTTGATAAACATTTTGAAGGCAGGAAAAATCCAAATTGTTTCTTCTTTGAGAGTCATGACTACCTTCTGGTGTGTAGAAATTGCCATTGGAAAAATTGACAGTTTTGATTCTTGCTGGTATGGTTAAAATAAAAGGTGTTAGTAGAGTTTTTTTTTTTTCTTTTGATATGTGATCACAAAACAATTATAAACCTGTTTTTACCATTTAAATTGTGAGAAAGGTTTTAAATGTCTAGAATGCAACTGATCTAGATTTCTTTTGAAGTAGTTTTTTCATGTTTAATTTGTATTTGTAAAAAAAACAAAACCCAAAAACAAACCCCAAAATCCAAATAACACAAAACCAGAGCAAAACTGTTGTGCCTTCTATTTATCTTTGATTCCAGCCTTGGCAGTTGTTTAAAGGAAAAAAAAAAAAAGTCTAGATTTGTTTTATCAGGTGTAGAGTATGTTGGGAATTGAAGAATCCCTCTTTTACCTGGTATGTCTTCTTTTCATTTGTTACGCCTTATTCTTAAAATTGAGTCTCAAACTGGAATGCCTTTAAGGACAGATACACTTCTATGAGAGGTCCTTTGACCTAAGTAGTCCAGCATTTGTATTAAGTTTTATTTCGGTAAATATTCAGAATCCTAATCATAGCCCATAAAAAGGAATATGACTTTAATATTGGACTTTGTGCTTGAGTGTCTGCCCGTTTGGTTTTTTTTTTTCTTTAAATCATAGCCATATGGTAAATTTTCTATTTTGTTATGGTTCTCTTTTATTGATGGGCATGCAGTGGGTGTTTCTTGGAAATGGCCAATTTTTATTAAAATATTTCTGGAAGAAAATTTAATCTGGCAGTATAGACTAATATTCGTTTTACATAGTATGTTAATTTTTTGAGTGCCGTGTGTGAGATGGCTGAAGGTTTTGTTTACACATTTGTGAAGCAAGCCTTTGTGTGATAAGTTGTCATACTAATTGAAGGGCAACGAGGTTGTCAAATTTAACTTATTTATTTTCTTAACAGTGTTCATCATTAGGACTGTTTGAGGATAGTATATGAGTAGGAATAGGAATGTTTGTTTTGCTGTTACTGGGAAACTCAAGGATTGCTGAAGGGTGTAGTCTTAAAATGAAGTTCGATATTATTGGTCCTCAGTACCTGAAATATTTGAAAATTGGCAACATCTCCTTCATAAAGAAATGTAACTGAGTCGCATGGCTGTTTTTGGGTCAGCTTAAATAACTATTTGGTAACCACTTCATTTGGCCCAGGCCAGCGATAATTGGAAGACATTCAACTTGTACTTTTGTAGCTTATATTAAGCCTGTGGTGGAAATAAAAAAACTTAGCTGGAGTTGTTTTTGAAAAAAAATATTGTAGTAACTGTAAGGTCATAAATTATGGATAACCTAGAAATCATTTTTCATAAGTAAATGTTAATCCATACATTTCACTAGGCATTTTTCCTACTCAGTAGTTTAAGGGCAGCAACTGGATGCCGTGATTGTCAACCCGGGCTGTTAATACATCCTAGAGGACATTTGGAAATGGGTGAGACTTGGGGAGGAGGGAAGAGGAGACACCACATCTGGTATTTAGTGGGTAGGGCCAACAATGTCATATGGTCTATAAAAATAAAGCAAACGCCATTGAGATCATATTCCTCATTCCCTATAATACATGGAGGATGGAGGGGAGGGGTGGGTGAGGACAACTGGAGTAAAGACTCAATCCTTTGAAAAATAGCCTCAGATAAATGAATTAGCAAATAGAAATCTCTTTCAGGAATTAATAGTAACATCTACTGCAGGGACTTTATTTGTACCCATGTGTGATTTTTATTTTATTTTATTTTATTTATTTGAGAGAGAATGAGTGAGAGAAGGTGCACACATGAGAGAGGGGAGGGTCAGAGGGAGAAGCAGACTCCCTGCTCAGCAGGGAGCCGGATGCGGGACTCAATCCCAGGACTTCAAGATCATGATCTGAGCCGAAGGCAGTCGCTTAACCAACTGAGCCACCCAGGTGTCCCCCCATGTGTGATTTTTAAAGAACTATTTGGAGAGGTAGTAACAATATGCTAGATGCTTCTTGTAACTTGTTGCATAAGCTTAGAAAACAAAAGGGTTGCTTCAGTAATTTCAGGTCATCAGAATGGGATGATTGTGGAGTTTGAAATAGCATTGGACTTTATATGTCAGATTTGGCATCATGGTTAACACTATGAAGAATCCCAGTATCATTATTTACGTTACTGCTGTTAGAATAAACATGACACCCTAGATAGTATATATTCACACAGGTAGAAAGTAAAAATAGGTTAGGGCAAGATTTTCTATAGGCAGCATAAGGTCATCACATTCAACCTTTTCGGGTTTTAAAATGCAACTTTTCATCTGTAAGAATGGCCCAATATACAGTTCTTTTCTCCTGAGCTTTAAACCCTTCACCCATGAGTATTTTAGCTAAGTAAGATTAGTTTGGTTCAATGGGTCTTCCTCTTTTAAGATCTTGGGCCTTACAAAAATACATTGTGTTCTTTTGTGGTGAGGCTGGGCTTTACTTGTGTATTCCTATGTTCTCAACTTTTTGAGCTATTGCGGGAAGTAGTGAAATGGGTAATCCAAAAATCGTTAATTGGCTTTGGGTGGTGGGTAGGTTACTACCACAGTATTGGTTGAACTGCACTTTGGTTTTAGGCTAGAAAACTAATTTTCACAATTACCCTGTGGATTAGGTGCTATTTTCCCCAAAGTAATAGATGAAGAAGAAATTGCATCAGAGCAGTTAAATTTTAGGTCTCTAAGTCATCCATGTAGTAAGAGCAGATTGGCTTCCAAAATTGATGCTTTTTCTCTAGAGCTCTAATGCCTAGAGTGATTTACATTTGAGTGATACGCTGAAAAATAGGACATGACCGTAGTAAGTTACTACAGTACAGAGACCTGAGTCTGTAAAACATTCAGAGAAAGGTTAACATTACTCTTCTCCATTTCCTTTAAGGTAAACAAGATAAGCAAACACTGATTTTGCAGGGCTCCTTTTGATTTGTATAGACTGTGGTAACACAGTAACAATGACTTGTTCTTAGGTTATTTTCTCATCTGGTTTTTTAATACATGTAGTACAACCTTGAAATCTGGATGTAGAAGGTAACAATATTTTTATAATACTTAAAGCAGGTGGGTTTATAGCAGTTGTGTTTTCTGCTTATAACGACCATTCTTTGATACTTTTCTTCATCCCTTTATTTGAAAACCCTTGTAGAGTTTAATAATTTAGTCGGAAACGTGGCACTTTATAGAAAACAATTTGTTAGAATCTATATGGAAATCTTTATGAGGTTTAAATTTGTAGACCATTGTTTATGCTGAGTGGCTTATTCCTTTTAAGTAAATGGTTGCATTTGTCAAATCTACTGATCTAAAGATAACTTATTGAAGTTTTATTTTCGTGCTACTTAAAAGAATCTCTGCAGGAACTGCATACAAATGAGATGATTGACCCTTTCGTTCAGCAGTTTTAAACTTTGTTAAAAAAAAATAATAACTTCAACATTTATTTGAATATGGGATTTTAGATAACCGCTTGCCATACCACAGATGGGCAGTGGACAATTAGACGTAGTCTTCCACAAATGTTTTAGAAATCTTAAAGAATGTGTTAGAAACTTAGCAACATTTTGCGTGGGAAGTTGCTGATCAAGTAATCGCCATGTGGCAGTAGATCAGTAAAGATTTCTGGTTTTAAGGTAGTAATACCTTTTGGGATTTGTATTTCTTTACTGTGATGTTGAGGTTCTGGGGACCATAGGTAGGCTTGTGAACTCTTAGGAGACTATATTAAAGGAGAAATGGTAGCACATGTGAGATAAAACTTATTTACTTCTTAGTGGATATGTAGCTAGCTCAGGATAATGCTGAAATTAGTCTGCTTTGCTCATGTTTTCATAAAAGTCTCATTATGGCCTGAATGAGTAAAAAGTTGATTAGCAGTGGTCTAAAAAACCCATGGTTTTGGTTTTGATTATATTTATATATTGGCTTAGAATTAAGCTTGTTCACTTTCTGATTGTATGACTTGCTTTGAAAACCTTGGACAGTCTCTGTGTCTCTAGTTTCCCCTTGAACCTGGTAGTTTGTTTTGTTTTGTTTTGTTTTTTAGTTCCCTACAAGACGTTCTCTTGTAGGGAACTAAAATAGTATTGGAAATCAGTTCCACAGTTACTTCCATAGACCATGTGACCTGGCCAGTTACAGAAATCTGTACACGTTGAGTACTTTGGAATATGGCCAGTGTCACAGATCCCTAAGGGACTTACAGCCATCCAGTGTGTCTTCATCTTTTAAGAAAGCAAATTAAGGGATTTTTACCAAAAATTCACTGTTGAATTTAACAAATATTTATTTTTCAGAACCCTGCTTATGGGAAGTTTGCCTGTGTTTTTGGTAGTAATTAGATGATTATATCTTATTCTGGATGTAAACAAGTTTTAACTATTGCTGTAATTAACCACCTTAGTTACTGATTTTTTCCCCAAGCTTTGATGTCACCTGTTGGATTTTGGATTTGGTTTAAATTCTTAAATGTTTTTATGAGGTGTATATACATTGATTTGGCCCTTTTAAATGAAGACACTATACCGAAAAACTGGCATAAAGAAGTTAGGGGAGAAGAACAGGTCTTCTTTTCTTTAAAGATTCAGTGTATGCTTAAGTAGATTATGTAGAACACATCATGTTACAAATAAGTTTATACAGGTAGATGTTAGATTTTGAAGAAAGGATGGAGGTGGAACTTAGCTGATGGGATAGCAATCATTTGTGATGTATATGGAAAAAAATCATAGTTCTAAGTGAGAAACATCAGAATATTTAAAGTTTTTCTTCCCATTCTGATTATTAACCATAAGAGGCAGGAGAGAGTCCTAGAATTCTTTGAATCATAGAATGCTAGTGCTGGAAAGGACTAAAGAGTTTGTACATCCCCTTCATCTTTCAAAAGAGAGATGGCTCAGGGAATGGATTATTAGCACAGAGTCCCATATTGGCTTGTAGAAGTAACATGGAGCACTGTCAGGGTCACCACTCTGCCCTAGGTTCACTGTAGGAAGCCAGAACTGTTAAGGTCAGGATGTGGGGAGAAAAGGGATGGAGCCACATTTTATATGCTTATTCAGTTGCTTCTATAGCTCGGTTTTCATACCCAGTTTTTCTCTTGTCTTAATGCCCAGTTCTACCAGGGCCTGTTGTCTAAGGACATTACCTTGTGCTCCCCTCAGGGATGGGTTTACTACTAGCTGTCAGAAAGCTATTGGGTATCCTAGTGTGTTAATAGCTGAAACTCAGCTGTAATTTTCTCCTAAATCCTTCAGCATTTTGCATTCTGTACATTGTGGTGCTTTTTCCACCTTGTATTGTTATAACTGTAAGCTCCTAAGGGGCAGCAATTTGGTCTTAGGCATGTACCCTGTTCAGTGCCTGGCAGCGCCATGTTCATATCAGGGTCCTAATCTTCCTTTCCAGTGATTTCTCCCATTCTTCATGGAGATGATGCTCCAGCCATGCTAAACTGCTTAGGATTTTTCTAATAAGCCTGGCATTGCTGATTTTGTGGCTTCAAGTGCCTTCCTTCTTCCCTGAAGATAGACTTGCATCTATACCCCCCCTTCCCCAAATCTCTTGCCATCAAAATTAATTTTTTCAAGACCCAGTTCAAGAGCATTTTTCTTTTCCCTAAGAGAAAAGATTTGCAACAGGAGTGGGGAGCTCCCTTTTTGGGGTTGATTTGGCCAGAATTTGAAGTGGGGAGCAAATTCTTTCTTGTCTAGTTCTCTTCTACATTGTCCTTCCTGTTTGAGATTCTGTCCCATCCTTCATTTTTAAAAATACATGTTCATAGAGCACTTTATACATTTCTCGTAGCTCACAATTTACCCCTTCAACCTACAATTAGAATGACCTGTATCTGTTTTACTACCTTATTAGACCATAAGCTCCTAGAGGCAAAGGACTGGGGGATTATCCCTGCATTTCCCCAGAAGGTACAGTGACTTCCATGAAGAGAGTCCTTAAAAGATGACTCACTGGGTTGAATAAATTAATGTATTTGTTTTCATTCTCACAAGTGAGGCATGCCTGGAGATAGGACTTAATAAATTGTAGGCACTGTGACAATTCATAGTGGAGGGATTTGTTGGGGAAATTTGAGGGGTGGGCAGAGGAGGGAGGAAGTCACTGGTCATTCAGAGGTACTTCCATCCTTAGGCTGGGTGATAGGCCATTTTTTTCTGTGCCCCGTATATCCCAGACACTTTGTTCTATGCAGAAGGATTTTATGTGCCAACTTTCATTTCTTTACACAAACCGAGTCCATTGTTCTCTGAGTTCATGTCATCACCCATACCACAAGTCTAAGTCCTCTGCTGCTTTTTTTCTTACTCCAGCAAAGTCCTGTCAGTGCTACCTCAAGTCTTTCACATCTCTTTTCTCCTCACTCAGATAATCTCAATGGCCTCTCAACTTCCTTTACCTGTTCTGACCCCCAGGCTACCTTATACACAATATTAGATTCATCTTACTGAAACATAGCTCTGACCATGTATCCCATGTATGTGTTCTATCTTCCCTGCTAGACTGTAAGCTCCTTATGGGCAGGATCTGTGTCGGAGTCATCTTTGTATCTCCCATAGTACCTATCAATAAATATTTCTTGAATGAACCAACATAAAGCCTTGTCTTAAGTGAAATGATGTTTTCCAGGTTCATTGTAGGTTCCTCTCTGAGGTAATCACAGTACTGCAGAAGTTTTTTTCACATACAAAGTTGGTTAAACAGTAACAACTAGGAGTTAACCACAGAGAAAATTTCAGAAAACTTTAATTTTTTTCCATTGGAATCAGCATGGATATGTGTATATGGATGGTTCAACAAATATATTTTTATATACATGTATCACAGAAATTTTACATTACATCTTCAAACTGCAGAAATAGATTTTTTTTATAAGCCAAAAAATAACTGCCATAACTTTTATGACTTCATGCAAAAAAGGGGGAAGAGTTGAGGGGTAAAAGGGAATTCGTTGTTTCAGGTTAAGGGTCGTAAGAAGTAAAAATGTTACATTAAGGAAGCGATTGCTTAACACGCTGCTTAAGGTGGTAGCCAAACAAATCCTTAACTGCAGCATTAAGGCCATACCAAGTTTATACATATATACAGAGAAATTTCCATATAAAAGACATACTATCACATTTTCTTCTGGGAAAGGATGAGGAGCTTTGTGCGTAATTCTGACCCAATTTTCCAGGCCAATTAATTGTTGAAGATGTCCCCAGGATCCTTCTAAATCTCTTCTACTTTGGCTAGCTGTCAGTTACTTTTATGTGGGCTTGTGACTGTTGTAGTCTTTTACGTGGAAGTATGAATCATCTTGAACCTCTTCCACTATGGGTGATGAAGCACTTTGTAGTTTAACTCACCCTGCCCAAAAGCCCAGCATATTTTTTTACATATCCCGAAAGTATTGGAATCACAGTTGGAATTGTAACTTGCAGTTGTCTTACCTGTAACAGACTCCACGGCCAATGCTGGCATTGTGACCTGAAGAATTAAACAGTGCCTGTTCTTCGGGGTTAAAATAATTTTTTGAGTAGTTAAAGTTTAATGAACCAAATTGTGAGGTTTCAAGGTAACATCCCCTGGACCTGTTGAAAATTAACACTTTTACTCCCTGTATGTCATGACATACTTAAGTTCCTTTTTGGAAAAAAGGAAGTGTAAAATCACTTGCAGAAAAATAACATGGGGTTTGCTTTTCTGTCTAAATATCAAATCAGGCAACTTTCAAGACAAAGGGTAGGTCTGTTGTGCAAATATCTAAATGCGTGAAATGGGGAAAATCTAAGGGCAAGTCCTTTGGAGATGACTTCCAGTTAGGCAGAAGTCATTTCCTTTGGCAAGGTTGGGGTATGACCCTTGAGACTGCACACTCTGGTTCTTTTGGCAGAAATTGGCCTATCTTAGTGGATGAATCTTGAGTAAAAAGAAGGTTACTAAGTCTAAGATAAATTATGTAAATAAAATACCCTTTTCCCCAGTGACTGAGCCTTTATTTGGTAATGTTATAACTCCTTTAGAATGTTTTAAATCAGTCTAATACTGCTTTTTCATTAATGTTGTCTTAGCTGTGAATTGGAAATCACTAGTAGTCCTGTTTGTCCCCATTTTCCAAGTATGGCTCCAGCATGTTTACAACAGTTATGGCTGCAAGGTAATTCATTCTCCTCCTATGGGTTCCCTGGGCCAGTCAAGTTTGAGAATGAGGTCTCTGGAAATGGCCTATCTTGAGAGGACCAAAGATTGTGATTTGGAAGCCCTTTAGTATGTTTGAATACTTAGAAAGTGAGCACTCATTGTCCTTCCCAGTCATGCACCAACCGCTCTTAACGCAAAATGATGCTAGCTATTTACATTGCAATAATTTAATCTGTTCTAGATAAAGTGAATTTAGTCAACAGGTCAGTTGTGATGCTGATCTACACAATGAGACATGGACATCCTTTGGCAGTCTTGTTCTTACCTAGAGAGCTTAGAAGTGTTAAGGGTTTTGTCTTGGGCACTTTGTGGTTCACTTTGTACATTTCAAGTCTAATGATAGCAGTTGAAGACATGTGTCCAGCTTTTAAAACTTATTTGGAAGCCTCTGAGGTACCTGCTATATTTTAGTTTTGGAAGTAGAACTTGGCTGCTTAGCTTTTTTTTTTCCTTTAGGTAGTCATTTTATCTGTGCCCAATATACTAAATAGCAAGGTGCACCTATGGGAATTTTCACTCATCTCATTTTAACTGTCATTAGTGCTGAAAATATTATAGTGGATTAAGTCATGGAAGATTGGACCATGAAACTATGAAATATGAATTTTAAGTGTTCTGAAGTGCATTGTGGGAACATCAATTTCTTAGCTTTTTACATGCCATTCAGGCATATTGAGCATGGTACACCTTTAAATGAGGTAGAAATACACCTAATATGGAAACAATTGGGTTTAGCAAATGGCTTATTTGATACTTAAGTACTACTTTTAAACAAGATTTGGGGAAGTCTTTCATTTACAGGGTAGGTAATACCTATTGCCCCACAATATTCTTTCTAAAGAATTTGCCTAAGAAAGGTAAATTGTTCTGAGAAAACAACAACAACTATTTACATACTTCCAGTAGCAATGACTTGATTAAAAACCAGTGACATTTTGTCTTTATTTTTTTCTATTCACATTTGGCTTCTCCCCTGCTCCCCCATACCCTTTTTACTTGTGGACATGATCTCATGGTTTGAATAGGGAAGTTCTCTCTATAGAGGTTGGGAGGAGGCCTTTCAGATGCAGCTAAGAAATAAAAAGAACATGCTAGACTGTATTTTCCTTCTAGGTCAGCTCTGTTTAATATTTCAGATCACAAAAGATAATAGTATTTGGACCACAAGCTCTCCTTTAGAAACATGTGCATTGTATTAAGTATTGGCTTGATAGTTGACAAAGATAAACTCTAGAAGTAACTAGAATCACTGTAGAATAGTGAGCTTACTGTAGAACCATGACTTTACCATACCTCTGTTATCCCCTTTCTATTGCCTACCTAGCACAACTAAATGCTTAATACTTGGGTTGAATTGATGCCCTTGAAGATGTGAATTTCTAGTAGGTATCGTATCTGCTTCTTAGATGAAGGAAAAGATAAGTTCTCCCAAAATAAGTACAGGGAAATCTGAATTAGGCTGGAAGTGTCAGCTCATGGGAAGAAGATAGAATGAGCTGCTCTGCCCGTGAAGGGAATACCGTGTTGACTGGTCTTTGAGAACTGCCATGTTCCAGAGTCCTGATCCCTTATTCTATATTTAAGGGGTTAGATGTACTTCAAATCCATCTTTCCAAACATGCCTAGCATTCATTACACTTTAGCCAAACAGATAATCACTGTACCTTGTATATGCCCCTTGTTTTTTACCTCCAAATTTTTACTCACGGTGTTCCTTTCGCTGGAATACTCTCCCCATCCATCAAAGCCTCCTCTTTAAGGTCCTGCTGCTCAAATGGCCCATAAGCCTTGAAATGTCCCATGGTTTATTTTCTGCCTGCTCCATGGCACCCTCCTTTCTCTGCTAATATTTTCTGCACTTGTATCATCCCCTCCTATACTGAAAGAAAAGAGGCTGTGTTTTATTCAGATGCCCTGCTTTTAAGGCACACTGCCTTGCCATAATAGATTTAATAGGCAGGTGCAAGGGATGTTAAAAACAAAGCTGATAGACTGGAAGGAGCATACATATTCTAGTCCTGACTGACACTTAAGTTTTGAGACTTGTTCACTGAGCTTCCACTTGTAACTCAAACCTTGAAAGGCTGAACTGCTTTCTCCAGGCTGGGACATTGCACAAAGTCATCTAAAGGCAAGTCTGTAGCAGCTTCCGGGAGACTCACTGAATCTGACTTGAGGTCACTAAGTAGGGTCCATTCAGAGTGCCCCTTTCCTCAGCAGCATCCAGAGCTGCACAGAAAGGGGCTGCCCTGGTCCTCAGAGGTAGCTAAGACCTTCCTGGTGTCACTGCTGTAGCTTCTGGATACAGCTGAAGAGATGTACATGAAGCCAAGTGGGACCAAGGAAATGTAGTAAGCAGAGGCCTTGTCCCATGAGCTCCTGTCTGGCTAATTAGGACACATCCAGTTACCCAGGGGATTAAGTCAGGAACAAAAGGACTTGGAGACAAGCTGCAGTTTCTACTTAGAATAATTTTTTTGTGGGGTATGTCCATATATTTCTCTGTAATTCCATTTTCCCACTTTATTTCCAGAGCCTGGATGGGAGTAAAGAATCATTAGAAGGCCCTCCTTTACTGGAACATTGGTCAGCCTGCCATTTTTAATACTCTTGTCACAATGGTATCTCGTATGAAGAGATGCTCCCACTTTACCTGAATGCCTGCCTGAAGGAAGTGGTTTACCTGTGTTAACCCTTTGAAAGGTGGGTGAGACCACAGTTATATAACTCCAGATAGCAAACTGCTGTGGAAAATAACCTTTGGTTTTAGAGTCTTAGCTCAAATGTCCTGTTCTCCATGAGACCTTGGATTGTCCCTATGAGACACCGTTTCTCTGAATTGTCTGTGCCTCTGTCACCGTATCTCCCCTTGATGAGTTATTCATATCCACAATCACATCTCACTGCACTAAGTTGTAAGATCTTTAGTTAGGGATGGTGTTTTTCTTTTCGTTCCTGTGCTTTGGCATTGTTTGTAGTAGGTTCTTAGTCGAGTGGATGTTTTAAAGGAATTCCGAACTTAGGAAAGACTTCCAGAAAAAGTTGAGTCCTTACTCTTGATGCTGGCCAAATCCAAGCCATTCCAGGCACCCAGTGCTCTCATGCAGGACTACAAATCAGCGTTTTCTCACTATTCTCCAAATGGCATATATTCTACCCTGCCTTGTTGCTTACTCATTTTATTCTATTCCACAATTCTACAGCCAGGAAGTAGCCCCATATCAACTCTAAATCCCTCATACACCCAAAAGTAGATTAGTAGGCTCTCAACTTTTAAGGTGGGCTGAGAGATTTATATTGTTTATATCCAAGTTCTACCTCCAAGTTCTGAGAAGAAGGTGGCCATGGATTGTCTTGTTTCGTTCTTAAGAAGAGGTTTGATTTCTAGTCTAGTACAAGATAGTATTCCTTGGCATTTAAGAGATTATAGGAGCGTAAATTTTTGTATAAGTAGAATGTACCAAGGCAAAAGGGTCCATATTTCTTAGCAGTTATAAGATTCATTTAAGTTAAAATGAACTAATAAACACCTATATACTTTTTTTAATGACAGAGTAAATCACCACATCAATCACTTGATTTTATACTCAATATTGGGAAGATAGAGAGCTTTTTACAGGGGAGGGGTGACTAAGGTCACAGCCAAATAATTTGTTGAAGATCAAAAACAGGTTAAGTGGAAGAGGTAAACACCTATCATGCCTAGTTCCAAAACTTAGCTTCCTGTTGTCCATAGAATCATATCTGAACTTTGGCAAGACTGACTTGGGCTAATAAACTTTCTGAGTTTCGGTTTCCTCATCTATAAATTGGGAAGATCAGGGCCATTGGGGGAATTAAATTCTGTAATTTAAGAATTGATATATAGTAGGTGCTCAATAGCTGTATTGTGATATTCAGGGTTCATTCACAGTCTTTTACTGGTCCACATGTAAGTGACAGCTGTTTACAGAGCTGTATGTGCTTTCTGTGTAGGTGGTATTCAAATGATACCTGGGCGAAAGGGATGTAGATGCTTAATAAGTGGGCTAGAATTTAGGTCTTTTCAGTGTGTGTATAAGCTCTGAGGTAAGCACAGAGGGCTGGTCCTGAAATGTCACTGAATAGGCTGCTCTGTAGGGCTGGTGGATTTGGCTTTTGGGGAGCCAGCCTCCATTCTGAAAGCAAGCTCTTGGATGACCTCTTCTGGCAAACAGAGGAAGACATGGTAAGAGATCATTAGAATGCTTTATACATTGTTTACAGTGAGGGGGTGGGGTTAATACGGATGATGTCATTTTATCCAGACAGTGGACCTGTGTCGTGGGTTTTATTGTCCCCAAATACATAAAGAAGCTGATTGCGTGCCTACAGTAGTTGCATCTCTGCCTTCTTGGAAGCGAGTGCCCTTTCTGCTGTACTAGAAAACCATGAATGGGTATAGAGAGGGTAAGATGAAGAGTGGGACCCCCTTAAGTCTGGGGGAAGTGCTCTTCTTTTTTTCAGCAGCTAAAAGACAACTGGAGAAGTGGCTTTAAAAGAACTTCACTGCTGGGGAAACCCTTCAAGCTCAACGAATTCAGCACTTCTGTTGTACAGATAGGAGAGCTGAAGCTTGGAAGGGAAAATATGTAAGAATTGTACAGAGACCATATGATAACCACCTAGAGTCTAGAATCACCATTTCACTGTAGTGGTGTCATCACACATGTATCCATTCTAGAGTAGGGTAGGAAACGACTGGTTTACAGTGTGGTTTCTATTCTATTATGGGAAATCTAAAATTGTCTTTTTTAAAAAACGTCTATTAATTCTTAACCTTGGAAACAAGAAGAAAGTTCAATCTGCAATATTCTCGTTAATTCCAGGGCCAGATGAAGAGAGAGTGAACATCATTTGTCATAATGTCAACCTATGAACGTTTTGAAGAGATTCCATCGGTATAAAGCATAAATATGTCCTTGCTGGGAAAGATAAGAGCAGTGTTTTCTGATTATAAGGAGTGTTTGTTGGAGCTACAGGAGTGTGGAAGCAATTTCAGACACATCATTGCCAGGGTGTGGTTTTGTTTGGGGGTGCAGCATGGCCCAAGTCCAGCCACACCTGCTATAATATTTTTTCTTTTTATTAGTATAGCCTAGCTAATGGTATGAGTTTAGATGAATCTCTGTAGTGGTCTGGAGCAGTCCCGCTTTTTCTGCCTGTAACTGCAGCTAGCATAATGGACAAATAGGGGAAAATTGTCTTAAATCTTGCTGGAAGTTTCTGGTTAGGATTGAATTGTATATGTGGGGAAACAGGCTGGGAGGGGACTTGGAGTCATTGGCGTTACCTCCCTAGGGCTATCTCACAAGCTCTGCCCTGATGTGTTTCTCTTTGATTCTTCCAGGGGCTCTGGCAGAGAGAACTCAACTGCCATGGGAAATGGGTTACAGCCTTCACAGGACATACAGGTTAAAATACCAGAGTGGAATGTTGTCCTGGTGTTGGATGGGACTCTCAGGTGAGAAGCCAATCTAAGACGCAAGTCCATCAGCGTTGTCTTTCATGGCCAAAAAACCCCACCAGAACAAAACAATTAAGATTGTAATCTCCTTGAAGGCCAAGACTCTCCTCTTTCTTAACCTCTCTCTACCTGCCCACCAAAAGGCCTGGGATGGGGTTCCAAGCTTGACACTGAAACGGGGAAATAGTGAAATCTTCTCTAACACATCTTCTTTAACCCATCAAAGTGTCCAGGGTTTGCCTTTGAAAAATCTCCTTCAACTTCCTCTTTTTACAGGGTAGTGAGCAGGCCAAGAAAGGCCAAGTAGCGCCCCTGTGTTCCCATGATGAGCCTGAGGGAGCACCACAACAAGGACTCACTTCCTGTTGAACTCTGTCCACCTCAGAAGGCAGGTGTGTTTAAAAAGGATACTGAGTTTCTGAAGTTGCTTAAGAAAACAGTGGAATCTGAAGAAAGGCAGGCCAAAAACAAGGCCACGCAGGAAATTGTGCAGCAGGGCAAGTGTAGGAATGGGAGACCCATTATGCTTGCGTCTGTAAGAGACAGCGGATGTCTTTTGTCCTCATGTTAGTTAGCTGGTACTGCTCTGTAACTGGTTAATGGCCTTATGTAGAACATAATTTTTATCACTGGGCTCTTGAAGGGTATATTTTTGGCTTGCCATTCTCTAGACTCTGACTTTCCGACCCAATGTTCCAATGGAAATTTTCCAGAACAGTGAAATTTCAAACTGCACAGGCAAGAGGAAGAATGGACATCGCAGCCTTAAAACAAACGAGACAGGAGCTACTATGTCCATTCTCGTCCCCTCCACCCCCCACCCCCTCAGAAATAAACGAGCATTTTCTGGAAGTGTTTGGCTTCACAAAATGAGATGCACAAGCTGATGAGACTGGATATGCTGGCGGGGAGGCAGTGGGAGGAGGTAGGGGGAGAGCACAAGAGGGAGAAGTGATGGTCTGGATGCTAGCTGGAGAAGCCTTAATGATCCTAAAAATTATTGGGCAATAATTTCTACTTTGGAACTCATTTTGCTGTTCTAAAGAATGAAAAAGCACCTTAATTATTGCTTTAAATAACCACACAGCTCCATCAAAACAGCGTGTAATAGCACCCACGTTTGAACAAACCTATCTCCTGCCATTGCTGTCTTTACAGCTGGAGAGATCCTGAAGGAAGCAACAGGATACTAATTTGGTAGCGGCAACATCTATTCTGGGCCCTCAAGATTCTAGATTACTTGGGCCCGGCGGATTTTTCAGAGTTCTCTATTTCTGCTGGGATTTCTTTTCTTTTTTTAATTTTTTTTTTTTTTAAAGATTTTATTTATTTATTTGAGAGAGAGACTGAGAGAGAGAGAGAGAGCATGAGAGGGGGGAGGGTCGGGAGGGTCAGAGGGAGAAGCAGACTCCCTGCCGAGCAGGGAGCCCGATGCGGGACTCGATCCAGGGACTCCAGGATCATGACCTGAGCCAAAGGCAGTCACTTAACCAACTGAGCCACCCAGGCGCCCTCTGCTGGGATTTCAACCTGCCCAAGGATATTCTCCTTATTCATTGGGATTTCAGGATACTGTGAAACAAAAACCTTTCCAACATATGCTTTTCCTTACACCGATACAAGTAGTTAAACAAGCCAGCTCAAACAAAACAAGGCGTATTTCTTTTACTCCTTCCTTTGGTCAGGATAAGCTCCTATTTCTGGCTTTGTAGAGCTGCAGGAAAATAGGAAGGTTCTCAATTCAAATTTCTGGAGTTGGTTTCTGAGAGAAGGGGCTTAGTGGAGAACGAAAAGATAAATTATATTTTAAGAACATGCTTGTTCTTAATTTTTGGTCTGGCCGGTTCTTGAATTAAAGACGCTTTATATCAGAGGGTAGGAGGCCCATTCGACCTTCCTCAGCAGACCTTACTAGCGCCTCAGAGTGCAAGCTTTCTAGTCAGTCTGAGAAACACAGCCCAGAGAGAAAACCCAATCTTGCCTGCCTCTTCAGAGTTGGGGTGGAGGGCGGGCAGAACGTACAGAAGGTGCTTGTGGAATAAATCTGATAGCTTCCAGAGTGGTACTCATCGTCCCTGGGCTGGGATTCCAGTCAGCCTGGGGAAAAGCTGCCAATCTCAGCTCGGCCCCAGTCCTCAAGCTGATACAGATTGTACCACCAGCAAGCCCTTTTCTTGCCAGCTTCTACTAAGGAGGCAGTTACTGCAGACATGATGAGAACTCCGCTCCTTTCAAGTTCAGTGTGCCGCAGTTAACTAAGGAGTCTCATTTTCACAAAAGACTGACTTATCCGTGATGGTAGCAGCTTAGCTGGGGCACTGGTCTCTGCAATCTAATATCATGGAGGCTCACAAAACACAATCTCTTTTTAATGATGCCCATAACAATGTGTACTCTTTTTTTTTTTTTAATGTGTACTTTGAAGGAAAGGAACCAACTCCTGTCATATTTATTTTCTCCCTAGTATGAAAAAATAGTCTATGAAAAATACTGATAGGCCTCTTAGAGGGATACATTTCTTATTTACTGACAGCTTAGAAGAAGTAATAATTTGGATCAGATGACCTTCTCTTATCTTTCTCTCTCTGTCTCTCTCACACATACTCTGCATCTTTCTATTCACTCCTGTCCTTGGTCACTCTCTATATAGCATTGGCCAAGGCGGACTCTGGAATGTTTGAAAGGACCAGAGGGTGGCAGAGCTGAGCCATTAATTTTGGCTGCTCTTGAAACTAATCTAGTTAAGTTGTAAGCTAAGGTGAGAAGTTACTGGTATCATCTATCTGCTTAGTTAATATTTCTTAAATCTGACTCCTAGGAATAGCTGCAGTTTTGGAGGTGGGTGAACTCACCATCTGCTCTATACCAGTATCCAGTTCTACCTTCGTGTGTAAATACTGGTCTAGCCATGTAGAGAGAGTTTGAAAACCAGTAAACCACTCATTACACCTCAGTCAGTTTTCCCCCTGCCATAACATTTGGCATATGTAGTCCCAAAGTGTGATATCCTCTGTGCACAAACTGAAAGGGAAATTAAGAAAGCATTGTCCTATTTGTTGGAGCCACCTAAAAAATGTTTTTGGCCTAAATTATCTAGTTTGATTTTTTTATAATGATAAAATCATGTAATTTATTGCTAAATCCTTTCTACATTATACATTGATGATAATGCCTTCTCTTTGAGCATGCTTCATTTCTAATTCACAATGGTATTTTTGACTTTATCATGATGTTCTTTTCCCACCACTGCTCATCTTTGATAAAGTAAAGCAAAAAGAAAAATCTGCAAATGTTCCAAAGAAGGTAGGTCCATGTACATGTGCATATATATATATGTGCACGTCTATCTAGAGGGTTCAGAAATTAAAGTGACATTAAACTTTTCATTGTGTAAACCTCCTATAGTTCAAGCACACGGGACAGTTAGAGCTGGAAGGGGTTAGAGATCTGTACCACTCTCCCCATTGTGTTTGTAGAGGAACTAAAGCTAAATCATTTACCTAAGGTTCCCCAGCACATTAGTGGTAGGACTAAAATTCAGGTTCTTTTCCACTATAATGTATTCACTCACATTTATTTTCCATGAGGAATACCAAGTCTGGAATAGTTGGAGCAGAGATTTCAGTGACCTTTCCATTCTGTGTCTCAAAAAGATGATTCTGTTGTCTGTTAGATACTGTTGACTAGACCTGGCAGCTCCCAGTGGGCCCACAAGTTGAATATGGTGGCAGAAGTTCAGGGACCCAGCAGAGGTTGGGCAAATGCCCCAGTGATTTCTCTGTTTCGGAGCGATTCCAGACGCCTCACACAAGGAGCCCAGTTTGAAATCTGCAGATGCTCCTGTTTGAGTGGAGGCAGAATGTCTTGGAACAACTGGTGTTGTCTTCAGTCCCTGACACAGGCCTAATGCCTTTGCTGCCGGATCACCTCGATTTCAGACATTCTGAATTTAGTCTGGTAATGAGTAAACTGGAGAAAAGGGCTTCTTTAATTTTTTTTTTTTTATTAAATAACGATTTTCCCCTTAAAGTGAATAAAGTGCTAGTGAAAGGGGCAAATAGCCTCTCCAGTGACTCACGCGCCACTGAGGGATTAAGGATTTCCTCCCTTAAATAAAGTGAATGTCGTGCTAATAGCAGTTCTGAGACTGATACTTGAGTCTTGAACTGGTGGTACTTATTCAGATCCCTCTGTTTCCCTTTTCCTCCTTTAGACACAGTTTGTGGTGGGGAAAAGGATAAAAAGATAGTCGTGGATGAGAGCGCCCCACTCAGGATTCTGGGCTCTATCCAAGGCTAGAATACAATTTAATTTCCTGGTCTACACACGCCAAGAGAAGGGAAGGCAATGACTTACTGACCTTGACCCTGGATGTAAACAATTTTTTCATTCAAGCCTCAAAGCCAAATCCTCTTTTGGCTGCACAGTGCATTTTCTTTACCCAAATCACTCTAGATCCTTGTCTTTTGGCTTGGTGTTTTGGGCCTCTAGAGGTATTAGCCATTGTGCCACAGGGAATGGGAGAAATTTCCCTCGGGGAAGGGGCTTGAGGGAAGAGTTAGGGTCCCAGTGTCTCCCTTCTCTTCTCCCCCACACTGGGGATACTCTAAAGACCCCTGTGAAACCCCAGGCCTCAGGACAAACCAACTGTCCGCCGTGTCCCAACATCTACCACTACTTTGATCCAAAGCCAAGACACTAAAGTGCAAAGGAAGAAACGTAGCCCAGTATACCGGTCACAGGCTGCAGCAGGGAGCATGCCCCAGACAGCGGTGCCATCATTCAAGCATGATGCTGTTGGCAGAGAGGACAGAGGCTGCTCCTGTCTTTAGCAGTCCCTGTTGCAGACCCTCCATCAGTGAACATCCGTGTCCTTCAACAGGGTCCCCCACCCCTCACAATTTATTTCCTAGTCCCTCTCCTTTTTTCTGGAGTGCCCTAGCTAACCTGGGGTAGTTCTAGCACTTCAGAGTTAGAAGGAAAGAAATATTTGTCTAACTTTCCTAAATGTTAAAGCTAAGCAAAGCACCAAAAAGGAAAACAAAAAGATTTATAAAAATATAATGGGGTCATCTCCCCATGCTTCCCACATTATTTGTGGCATATGAAATGTCAAAATATAATGAACAGACTTTCTAAACATTACTATTTCTTTCCACCCGTATATATCTGAGCTGCGGCAGCCTCATTACTACCCTTTCACCTCTTAAAACTTCACTCTGTAGAGCCATTATAGAATAAATCTACTTCATCCCACCGGCCCCACCTTCCCAAATACATACCCACTTGCAGTTCCAAAGAGAGACTCTCCAAAAAAATAGACATTTGAAAAAAGTGCATCTGTTTATACTCAGTCTATCTGCATATTACTTCTTGAGATTATTACTTTTTTTTTTTTTAACCGTAAAAAAGATTGCATATTGGCAATATAATGGGAAAACCATGGCGGCCATTTCTGGGTGGCAGTGGAGGGTAAGTGGGGTGGGTGTTGAATCATAGAAGCGAGAGGGCTCAGAGAGGGGCAGGTGTGGTCCTTAGCCTTGAGACCTGAGGATTGAGGTGGAGTTGTCTTGATTATCAATCCTTGGGTCTCTGAGATGTCCCATCTCCTTAGCCATTCCCTCTCTTCTCTCCACCTTTCCCCATTTCCACTACCCATGGCCAGGCTGCATAACCCTCTGGAAGCAGAGGTGGGATGGCTTTTTGGCATGTGTCCACCCGGGCCGGTTTGAAGACAGGCATGGCATTTGGAGGGCTGTGATATGGGACACATACCAGAGCAAGCTTTGTGACTGTTTCCACTCTGGGAAAAATTGTCCATCACTTCTGTGGCTTTAAAAATTTAAGCAGTTACTAGGCTGATAGGTTTAGAAACAAATCTTTTGTTCTTGTGGTTTTGCATTAATATTAAGCATGAATATATATCATATATTACATTGCTTTCCTTCTGCTCTGGGGCAGACTGCACTCTCCTTCCAAATAGGAAAACTGCCCAGCCCATGGACTCAAATTTTTGAAAGCTGTTATTCCCCCACTCCCTACCCCCCCACTAACCCTCCCCTTTCTCCTGACCCCTCAGCTCCGATATTAGAAAAGCCCCTCCCTCCCCCCTCCCAGCAGCCCACCCACGGTTAAATAGAGAGTGCCACATTCTAAGATTCATGCATCACTGCATTTTGCTATTGCACATAGTGCAGAGAAAGAGGGAGTTGTGTATGTGTGCCCCCTCCCTCTCTTCTCCTCCTCTTCCTTAGGCTCTCAGATTCCTGTGCTATTCCCACTCTGCCCTCTCCCAGCCTCCCCACGCCCCTCCATCCCAGACCCGTCACTGGTTGTGAACATCCTCCCTGCGGACGATCTTATAGATGATCCAGTAGAACATGTTGAAGATGAGGAAGGCCATGGGGAAGCCAATGCGGGATATTTTGTCGATTTTCTTGGCCCTCTGGATGAAGAGTTTTCGCATCTCCTCCGGGGACTTAGATGGTGCAGGAGGGGGGTTGGTGGTGGTGGTGTTGTTGGCGCCTTTGACCGAGATGCCATCTTTGGCCTGCAGACAGGCTGGGCCCATCCCGTAGGCAGAGAAGTTGAAGCGGCCCTCTCCGGCCTCATCCTCCTGGAACAGATTCAGCATGGGGCTCTACTTAAAATAAGACAGGGGCTGGGCACCCTCCCTGCAAGGCACTCCCCTGGGGGCCAGGCCAGGCCCATCTGGTTCTCCCTGCCCCCCTGCCTCTACCATTCCAGGTTTCTTAAGGCACTTAGGCTGGCTGGGGAGTTACGCCTTATAGAGGGGCGCCACTTGCATGCTGAAACAGAGGCAAACCAGGGGATAGGAATGTGGCCTAGAGTCTGCAGACCAAGTCCGGCTCGGTCACTTGCTGGCCATGTGGCCTTAGGCAAGTCACTTCTCTATTTGAGTCTCAGGTTTTTTTTACTTCATATTTTCCTATAAATGGGGGGAAAGATTCACCCCACTACAACCAAGGGTTCTTTTGACCATCAGAGGTTATAGATGAACAGACGTTCGAATGCTGTTTTTTTAGAAATCGGGACGATTTGGAGAGATCCCCTGCTTTGCCTCTGTTGCCTTCTTGCCCTTCTCCCCCACCCCATCCCCCCAGTTGGTGTGTTCTCGGGCATGGGTTGGGGGAGAGAGCAAATGCTGTGGGCCTCAGCCCTGTTTTACACGCCGCTGGGGAAGCCACAGCTGCTTTCTCCCGCCACATTCCCACAGCCCTGGCACTTGTGACCTCAGACATAGCTCTGGATTAAGTTATTGTTCAAAGCCCTTCATCCTTTGGCTCCAACTTACCTTTACAGGCCTTTGCCCTTCCCCTTACCTTATGCTTGGCATACCTGCCAGTTTGGTTGCACTTTGCCAGTCCCCCCTGTGCATTTCTCTCACCCTGCCTTATGCTCACTACCAACACGCCTCTGCCCGTATTCTTCTAATGTCTCCCTTTCCCAGCTCGTGGTGATCTTCTGATCTGACTCGTGCAGACACTGTTGTCCGCTCTCATCATGTCTAGCTTTGTAATCTTCCCCTGTGAGCTCCGCGCTGGCACCGAGAGGCTCCCATTGTCCTCCTAGGGAGGGAGACAGCCTATCTTCCGCTTGTTCCTATGTAGAACAGGGCTGACAGAGAACAGGAGACACCGTGTATGAGCCCCTTTCCAGCTCTGTTCCTGCCACCCTTGCTTGGGCCACCCCACAGGCTTGTTGTGACAACTTCCAGCCCAGTCTTTCTACTGCCTCCCGGCTGGCCCCTTCAACCCAGCTGAGTTGTCTTAACACACATCGTATTGGTCATCTTTTGCTTGAACTCTTTAATGGGCTATCACTGGCTTCAGGATAATTAAGGTCCTTACGTGGTGAACAAGGCCTTAGATGGCCCGGACTCTGCCCTCTCCAGTCTCATCTGTGCTATTCTCTTTCCAGCACCATATGCACCAGTCATCCCAAAATATTTACAGATATTCAGACGTGCCATGCTCTTTCTTTTTTAACCACGGGCCTCTGCTCAGATTGTCCTCTCTTCCGGGAACGTACTCCTAACCTCTGCTTCCAACACCTTCTCTTTCACTGAACTAATGTCTTACTTGGAAGCCTTCCCCGAGGGCAAGAATAGACGAGGTGCCCCTGCTATGTGCTCCATGAGCTCCCTATACATCCTGCTCTGTTGTTTTTTTAAAGCTCTTATCACATTATGTTTCTTTAAAAAAAAAAATATATATATATATATATAATCTTTATCTCTTGCAAACCTTTTTGTTTTTTATTTCTATTTTTTAGAGAGTGCGGGTGGGGGAAGGGCAGAGGGAGAGGAAGAGAGAGAATCTTAAGCAGGATTCACGCCCAGTGCAGAGCCTGATGTGGGGCTTGATCTCAGGACCCTGAGCCGAAATCAAGAGTCAGACTCTTAACCGGCTGAGCCACCCAGGCGCTCCACATTGTTTCTGGATTAATGTCTGTTTCTCCCATTAGACTCTAAGCTCCATGCAGGCAGAGTCTTACTCATGTTCATTGCACCCTGAACACTGAACATATGAACAGTGTTTCTGGACATAAGCTCAAAGCTCAGTAAATATTTGTTGAATAAGTAAATGTTTACCAGTATATCTTCACTACTCCTAGCTTCCTTTTTTTTTTTTTTTTAAATGGGGTTGTATTCTTGGCACCAGGAGGATTTGAGACATGGAAAATGCTCAAGAAATCTTTGGCAAATTGTTGAATCTGGTCCAACACTCTCATTGCAGAAAGGGGGAAAGAACATGTGCTGGGCAAATAGATCCCAGTAAATATTTGTCTATGAGTAGGGCAACAGTAGAGGGTTTGTGCCAGGACCAAGGAAAGGAGTTGGAGGCAGCGCTCCAAATTAGAGGGGGTCTGGGTCCAGCTCTATTGCTGCCCTTGCTGCAGGATGGGGTGCTTGAAAATGTTTTCTCACCGGGCTCTAGTTATGCAAGGGAAGCACCAAATTAATTTTATATACAGCTTTGGGCGAATTTTTCTCTGCCTTCCTCATCAATTAAACATGGAAGTGGAAGGAGTGGAGGTGTGGCCTGGAGGCCCCATCTACTTAGATGATCATCAATTTCACACTGTAGCCAGGAGAAAGGAATTTCCCTAGAAATGACGGAGAGAGGCTTGCTATTCCTGTTCTCCCCAGCAGATGGCAGGAAGTGAAGGCTTGGGGATGGAGCGGTTACAATCTGGTCGTCTCCTCCTCCCAGGGAGGTTGGGAGGGTGCCTGCCCAGTATGGCTCGCAGATTTCCTAATAATCTGACTAATGAGGCCGGCCAGGGAATTTGAGGACCAGATGCTTTGTGCCCAACAAATGAGGTAACATGGGAGGATGGTGGGATTTGAGGAGCCTGGCCAAGATCACAGGCTCTGAGAAACTCAGGCATGGAGCTAGTTCCTTTTCACTCACCATCTGGGGCTGAAAACCCCCTCTGCAAACTTCCTGCTGAAGGGAGGTTTCTGCAGCCCAAACTTATTATACACTGCTGATGTACAAGCCACATCCAGAGGGGCTTACTCCAAAGGAAGCACTGCTTTATGGTGAACCCAATTCTGCATCCTTGTAGTTTCTGACATTTGGGTCAATTTCAGAGCCCTTAGGAACAAGGTCACACTGATTCAACCACACACAAGGGGCCACGCAGGAGAAATGTGAATGAAGAAATGAGCCAGGGCTGACAAAATCTCCAGTCAGAAGGGACTGTGGCAAAGCAGAGAATGCATTCCCTACCTAAGGGCAGTTCCAGTGCCCCAGTATCAGGTGGGATGTGAATCCAGTGGGACCAGAGGCTGTGACTTTTTGAATGAAGATTAAAGTGTGATTTTTAAATGCTGGCACCTTATTCTAGACTTCTGAGACACTGCTAGTGAAATTAAAGACAGTTGCATGTTGAATTTGATTTCTGGCTACTGGTTTTTGACCTCTGCCTTGGGATAAGTCTTAGTTCTTATTTGTGATCTAATAAATCGCAGGGCTGTTTTTATCTGCTTCAGGATGGCAATATTGGTGAACAGATAAGCAACTGATGGTGTCTGGTCAGTGGGAGCCATGGGACCTCCAGCACCTACCCTGCTTTGCCACTAGAGCCTCTGTGATCCTAGTGACTTGCTCCTCCTTGCTGTTGTCATTGGCGTGGGAGGAGTGGACAGGATGCCCTCTAAAGGGCTCTTTCAACACGAACATGAGCTATGAGAGAGCGAGGAGGGAACCGAGCAGGGATATCTGATCAAATCTGATAGTGGCTTTATTTATATTTCACCTGGCCCTCGAGAAAGTTTAGTTTTTCTCAGGTGTGTAAAGCTGGTAGGGAGTTGGCGAGGGTGGAGGCAGCCTTTGGAGGTACTGTAGGCCCACCATACTGCACGTCTGCAGGGGGGGCTCCATTTACATTTTTGTCTCTGCAAATAGTGCCCCCTGGAGTTGTGCAGTGCACAGTCTAGTGGCCTGATGCTAGTCAAATATTATGGACATAGTTTCCCCAAATAAGTGTCTCTTCAACAAATGTATTAACCCTCTTTTAGCAGAGGAAAGTGTAAAAAACAGCTAGCCAGTGGGGAAAAAGGAAAAATAATAAATTCCCAAGAATGTTATGTTTGGTCCATTCCTTGCTTAGATTATTTTAATAGTCAGAGGCTAAGTATCCAATGGGCAGTAAGGACTAAAACTAGAAGTCTTTTGAGAAATCCTGTCTGGCTTGCTGCACCTAAGATAGTTTTCTCTTCCGATGCAGATTTAGAAGGATGGTTATACCTGAACTCCCATGGACATCTTCTGTCTTGAAATGTCTGCCTCTTGCCTATGGTAAACTGCTAGAAGTTAATTGAATCAGATTGCTGATGTTTAAGGAACATTCTGATGGAAATTCTGTACGTGTGTAATCATTTTATTCCCTGGTACTTGTGTGACAGGAACAGAATTTAAAGTTACTTTGTAATCTGATTTAATCCTCACCACAGTCCCCCACTGTGCCAATTTAGTCCACTTTACAGATGGAGAAACTGGGCCCAGAAAAAGGTGAGTTTGAAGTCACATACTAAATCGTGATACAGAGACAGGGTCCTCTGACACAGCACATTGTAGCTGGATAGATCGCTATTTGACGTAGGTCAGTCTAAAGCTTGGGGGGGCCTTGGTGTGTGGCAGGGATGTGGCATGGCCTGACAGGTCATAGCGTATGGGTTCTTGTTTGCCCTAATCTGTTGCTGGAAAAACTTCTGGCTAGGCTCTCTGACCAGAAGGGCTCCTCTGTGTTCATGAGTTTATCCCTTTGTCCATAGGTTCAGGAAATGCCAATGACATGTTCACTGTATGTCAGGCATTGTATTAGGCACCAGAGACATAGCACTGAGCCAGAGTTGACATGGTCTCCACCCTCATGGAGCTTATAATTCAGTGGGAGAGATAAGCACAAAACAACTACATCATGAATGTATGATTATAAATCAAGATGACTGTTCAGAAGGAGGGAAACTGAGTTTTATTAGAGCATGATCTTTGCTAGCTCACACAGCATCCTTGTGCAGATGAGAAAAATGGCACCCCTCCTTTCTAGACATATAATTAGAATCCTTCCTCTGGCAGATACAGTCCATGCCAAAGCAGGACCTAGAGAAAAGTGCCTCGTTGGCAAGGGGGCCCGTGGAGGATACAGTCTGCATGGCCATGCTTGACAGCTTTGCATGAGAACCTCACTACAGGACCTCTACCTTGACCCAGGTATCAGGGAAGATGCCTCAGCTGAGAACCTGAAAATGAGTGCTTGGTTAACACTAAGTAAAGTGCACTGGGAGGGCATTCCAGGAGAGAACAAGACATCTGAAGTCCTGTGTGTATGTTTGAGCAACAAGGGAAAAAACTAGGGTGGTTGGTGCTCAGAGAGCAAAGGAGAAAGTGAAGATGAGGCTGGAAAGAAAAGTGGGTTCTATGATCTCCAGGGGGAGAGGTCTTTGGGGGAAATATTTATTGACCAAAGTGTGCAACCAGTTTGTTCGCACAGACGGCACTCTCCGCAGTGGCATTTGCTGGTTGGAACACAGCCTCTGAGTTAGCAGAGGTTGGTGACTTCGTATAGATGGTTGGCCAAGTAGTTCTTTACTCACACCTTCATAAAGTGAGAGAATTCACTCTAAGGGAGCATCTTGCGTGATGCTCCTTTCTTGCAAGTAAGGAGCAAAGGCCTGGCACCTGGACATTCTACTCAAAGATCTTACCTTTTGTGGTGCAATTCCCTTCTGGAACCAGACCCTTGGAAATAATGCAGGCTTGCCGAAGACACCAATAAACGTCTTTCAGCCTGCCAAGCTTCAAGGTCACAGCTAGTTATTATCTTAGCCCCATCAGTGTTTGCTCCATCAGTTCTGTCTTCAGGTGTAACCTGATCATTTCTATAGTATTACGGTTGGAAGAGTAACTGTCTACAGACCCAACAAGGCATTATTTATGGGAGGGGAAGTTAGGAGTTGTAGGCCTTCAATCCCTATTTTATGTCTGCCTTACCCACTGAGAAGGATGGTCCAGTGAAACAAGTATCACAAGAGAAGCCTGCCTGGAACTCTTCTGTTGACCACCAGCTGTCCCTCCTTAGGTAGCGATCCAAAGGCCTACCTTGTGATGTCTTCGCTTCCTCCTGAATCGGAGCAGCTCTTTGTGCTGCCGAGACACAAAGTTGACAGCGGCATACTCAAGCAGGGCTGAGAACACGAAGAGCAGGCACACTGCCATCCAAATGTCAATGGCTTTCACGTAGGACACCTGGAGTGGGGGTGGAGAAGAACACAGGGCCGTGAGGGCAAGGGAGAATGAAATATCTCAATATTTCTGCTCCTCAGTAACTCCCCCATCACTCACTGCTATTCCCTCCTCAGCTGGGATATTAGGAAAGTGCAGAGGAAAACAAGAAAAATGCACCAAGAAGACTGTACAAAACATTGGAGAAAATAGAATATGGTACCTAGAAGAGTAGTGAGGAGAGGAGGATGGTATATCATCATCGTTGAGTGAAACAGAATGGTGTGTTTAGTCTAAGAGTGATAGGAACAGAAGGGTGTACCTAACATTAAAAGTAAACAGAGAATATTAGCAAAAGTAGCAGAGTAAGATCTTCAAAAACTCTTCTCCTATATAAGAGCAATGAGGACAACAGCAAAAATGGTCAGAATCAACTTTCTCAGAAGCTCTGTTAACCAAAGGCTAACAGCAATCTTGAAAGCATTTACTTAAAAGGTCAGCTGAATGCCAGTAAGAGCATCAAAATTTGTGGCATTAAAAAAAAAAAAAAAAACCAGCTTCATTGAGATAAAATTCATACACCATACAATTCACACATTTAAAGTGTACATTTCAATAGTTTTTAATACATTCAAGATATGTGCAACCATCATCATAGTCAATTTTGGAATGTTTTCATCACCTCCAAAAGAAATCTAGTAACTTTTAGCCATTATTCTTTTTCTTATTCCCCCAATTCCTGTCTGCCCCCACCATCCCAAGCAACCATTAATCTACATTCTCTCTCTATAGACTTCCTCATTCTGGGCATTTCCTATGAATGGAATCATACCATGTGGCCTTTTATGACTAGCTTCTTTCACTTAGCATAATGTTTTCAAGATTCATCCATGTTGTAGTATATATCTATATTTCATTCTTTTTTTTTAAAGATTTATTTATTTGAGAGAAAGAGAGTGTGTGCAAGCGGGGGAGGAGCAGAGGGAGGGGGAGAAAATCCCAAGCAGACTCCCCGCTGAGCACAGAGCCTCTATAGGGCTCTATCCCATGACCCTGAGATCATGATCTGAGCCAAAACCAAGAGTTGGACACTTAACTGACTGAGCCACCCAGGTGCCCCTATATTTCATTCTTTCTTATAGCCAAATAATATTTCATTGTATGGATATACCACATTTTGTTGATCCAGTCATCAGTTGATGGACATTTGGTTGTTTCTACCTTTTGGCTATTACAAATAATGCTGCTATGACCATCTGTGTACAAGTTTTTGTGTGGACTTATGTTTTCATTTCTCTTGGGGCCTTGTGGTATTTTAACTTGGTGAATTCTTGTTCTCCTGTGCTAGCCTTGAAAACCAACAGACTGCAAGCAGAGTGAAAACCAGCATCCAGGCAATCAGTGAATGGGGCAGAACAGAGTTGGAGTTTCTTTAAAGCTCCATTCTCAGAGAACTGTCATTATTTGCGGAAAGACGACACTCACAAGGAAGGCTGTCTTTATTTGACCTGACTTGGAGCTGGCCCAGTGTGAACAGCCTATTCCCTGGGGGCATCTGTTGAAAATAGTCAGTGGCAACTGTTGAACATCACATCAGCCTGAGGCATTAGGTAAAGTTGAAGCAAACAGTAGGTTGATTAACAAGCTTAAAAGGAAAATCTGGGGGAATGAGATGTCCACAGGGGGCTTTAGAAAGCTTTCACATACTTCTGGGAATTGGTGTGCATGCTTAGGCCTGTGTGCTCCTCAGGAAAGGCCCGAGAAGGCCCCTTAGCTCTCAACTCTGGGTAACCTTGACATACTGAGCAAGCTGCAAGTGAAGGGGAAGGCAACACTGTAAACTGCCTGGCTGAGTTGTGTCCTAATACATCCGTAGAGCCCTAGAAAAAGGTTGGGAGGTCTCTAGGTTCTATGCATTTAAGCAAATTTCTGTCCAATTTTAGCTAACCACCAAGCTAACTGAGCAGAGACTTCAGTGGCCTCACACAACAAAGAATACAGACCTTAGAGAATTAGTTCACAAGCGTTACTAAACAAACAGCAACAACAACAAATCTTGAGGAGGGAGAATCTGATTTCCAGAGATGCCACATTACATTATGTAAAACATGTAATTTGCAACCAAAAATTATAAGATACGCAAAGAAATAAAGGATGGCCCTGCAATGGACTAAATGTTTGTGTCCCCACCCCCCACTTCATAGGTTGAAATCCTAATTCCAATGTGATGGTATTTGGAGGTGGGCCTGTTGGGATGTAATTAGATCATAAGAGTGGAACTCTTGTGAAGGGATTAGTGCCTTTATAAGAAGAGGCCAGCTAGCTGGCTGGCTTTCCAGCCTGTGAGGATATAATAATAAGTTGGTAGTTTGCAACTGGAAGAGGGTCCTCACCAGAACGCTACTATGCTGGCACCTGATCTCAGACTTCAAGCCTCCAGAACTGTGAAAAATAAATTTCTTTCATTTATAAGGCACCCAATCTCTGGTACTTGGTTATAGCAGCCCAAATTGACTAAGACAGGCCCATACATAGGAAAAAAAAAAAGCAGTCCAAAGAAGCTGCCCCTGAGGAAGCCCAGATATTGGACTTAATAAAGGCTTTATTTTTTTTTCAAATTTTTATTAAATTATTTTATTTTATCATTATTTTTTAAGGATTTTATTTATTTGTCAGAGAGAGAGAGAACACAAGCAGGGGGAGCAGCAGGTAGAGGGAGAAGCAGGTTCCCTGCTGAGCAAGGAACCTGATGCAGGACTCGATCCCAGGACCCTGGGAGCATGACCTGAGCTGAAGGCAGATGTTTAACCAACTGAGCCACCCAGGCGTCCCTTAATAAAGGCTTTATTTTTTTTTTTAAAGATTTTATTTATTTATTTGAGAGAGAATGAGATAGAGAGAGCATGAGAGGGGGGAGGGTCAGAGGGAGAAGCAGGCTCCCTGCTGAACAGGGAGCCCGATGCAGGACTCGATCCCGGGACTCCAGGATCATGACCTGAGCCGAAGGCAGTCGCTTAACCAACTGAGCCACCCAGGCGCCCTTAATAAAGGCTTTAAATCAATTATTTTAAATGTGTTCAAGGAACTAAAGGAGACCTGTACAAACAATAAAGTATGAGAACAAAGTCTCACCAAACAGAACATAAGATAGAAATGATAAAAAGAACCAAATAGAAATTCTGGAGTTGAAAAATAACTGAACTGAAGAGTTCACTAGAGGGGATAAATAGCATATTTAAGCAGACAGAAGAAAGAATCAGTGAAGTTGGAAGAATCAGTGAACTCGAGGTTATCTTGTCAGAGGAGCAGAATGAAGAAAAATGAACAGAGCCTCAGAGACCTGTGGGTAACCATCAGGTACACTAACATATGTTTAATGAGTGTGCCTGAAGGAAAGGAGAGAAAGAAGCAGAAAGGGTATTTGAAGAAATAATGGCCAAAATTTTCCCGAATTTGAAGAAAAACACTAATGTACACATCTAAGAAATTCATGAACCCCAAGCAAAACGAAGGGCTCCACACCTACACACTTCATAGTCAAACTGTCAGAAGACAAAGAGAATCTTAAAAGCTGCAAGAGAGAAGCAACCTGTCATGTGCAAGGGATCCTCAATAAGAATGACAACTGACTTATCATTAGATTGATTATATACTTTTAAATTGGGGGTGGGTAGAGATTATTTAAATTAAATTAAATTTAAATTAAAGCATAGGGACAGGACTGGTGGGCATAAAGAGCTGCATTGTGATTGTGAGGAGTGAGATTTCTCATTAGAATCCAAGCAGTCTGATATAAATGGCTAACAGACACATGAAAAAATGCTCAACATCACTCATTATGAGGGCAATAACAAACCAACACCACAATGAGATAGCACCTCACACCTGTCAGAATGGCTAAAATTAACAAGTCAGGAAACGACAGATGTTGGTGAGGATGTGGAGAAAGGGGAACCCTCCTACACTGTTGGTGGGAATGCAAACTGGTGCATCCACTCTGGAAAACAGTATGGAGGTTCCTCAAAAAGTTAAAAATAGAGCTACCCTATGACCCAGCAATTGCATTACTAGGTATTTATCCAAAGGATATAAGAATAGTGATTCGAAGGGGCACCTGCACCCCAGTGTTTACAGCAGCATTATCAACAATAGCCAAACTATGGAAAGAGCCCAAATGTCCATTAACTGATGAATGGCTAAAGAATATGTGGTATATATTATGCAGCCATCAAAAAAACTCCCTGAAATCTTGCCATTTGCAATGACGTGGATGGAACTAGAGGGTATTATGTGAAGCAAAATAAGTCAGAGGAAGACAAATACCATATGATTTCACTCATGTGGAATTTAAGAAACAAAGCAGAGGAACATAGAGGAAGGGAAGGAAAAATAAGATAAGGAAAAATAAAATAAGACAGGGAGGCAAACCATAAGAGACTCTTAACTACAGAGAATAGACTGAGGGTTGCTGGCAGGAGGTGGGTGGGGGGATGGGCATTAAGGAGGGCACTTGTGATGAGCAATGGCTGTTATATGTAAGTGATGAATCACTAAATTCTACTCCTGAAATTAATCTACACTATATGTTAACTAACTTGAATTTAAATAAAATCTTGGAAGAAAAAAAAAGAAACCAAGCAGTCTGGAGGGCAGTGGGATGGCCTATATAAATGAGAAGACATCCTGTGTTTATGTATTGGAAGATTTGATATCATTAAGATGGCAACACTCTCCAAATTCATCCACAGACTCAGTGCATTTTTTTTTTTTTTGGATGGGCAGCAAAGCAACGTTTATTGAGTGATAGCAAAGTGCTAGTACAAAGCACCCAAGGAGGAGGGGACCCAAAGGGGTTGCCACAGACTCAGTGCATTTTTAATCTAACTTCCTTTTTTATTGTTGTTGCAGAAATTGACAAATGGGACTTAAAATTCGTATTCAGGTTCATATGGAAATGCCAGGGACCCAGAATAGCCAAACCAATCTTTAAAAAGAACAAAGTTGGAGGACTCACACTTCCCAATTTTAAAACTTACTACAAAGCAATGGTAATCAACAGTATGGTACTGACATAAGGATAAATGTATAGATCAGTGGAACAGAACTGAGAGTCCAAAAATAAACCTATACATTTATGGCCAATTGATTTTTGACAAGGATGTAAATTCAATGCAGGGAAAGGATAGTCCTCTCAACCAATAGTGCTGCAGTAACTGGACATCCACATGTAAAAGAATGATATCCCTCCCTCATAGCTATATGCAAAATGCAAAATGGATTAAGGCTTATATTTAGGGCTAAACTACAAAACTCTTAGGAAAGAACATAGGTACAAATTTTTGTGACTTTGGATTAGGCATTAGTTTCTTAAATATCATACCAAAGGCCAAGCAACAGAAGAAAAAATAAATTTTACTTCATCAAAATTAAAAACCTTTGTGTATTAAAGGACACTATCAATCAAGTGAAAAGACAACCCAAAAAATGGGAGGAAATATTTGTAAGCCATATATTTGATAAGGGATTAAAACCCACAATGCACAAAGAACTATTACAACTCAACAATAAAAAGAAATACTTTTATTATAAATTGGGCAAAAGATTTGAATAGACGTTTCTCCTAAGAAGATAAAGAAATGGCTAATAAGCACATGAAAAGAATGCTCAACATTATTAATCACTAGGAAAATGCAAACCTAAACCACAGTGAGGTAAATACTACTTCACATCCACTAAGATGTTTATAATCAAAAAGACCTCAAATAATAAGAAGCATTGGTGAGGAAGTGGAGAAATTGGAACCCCAGTGAGATTATGAAGTGGTGCAGCCACTTTGGAAAATAGTTTGGCAGTTCCTCACAAAGTTAAGCATATAGTTACCATATGACCCAACAATTCCACTCTTAGGTAAATACCTATGAGAGTTGAAAACATATGTCCACACAAAAACTTGTACATAGATGTACATAGAGCATTATTTATAATAGCCGAAAAGTGGAAATAACCCAAATGTCCCTCAACTGATGAATAGATAAGCAAAATGTGATTGTGCCATACAATGGAAATATTATTCAGCCACAGAAGGGAATGAAGTGCTGATACAATGTACAACACAGATGAATCTTGAAAACATTATGCTCAACGAAAGTGCACGTATTATATGATTCCATTTATATGAGATGTCCAAAATAAGCAAGTTCACAGAGGTGAAAAGTAGAGTAGGGATTGCCAGCGGCTGGTCAGAGTGGGGAATGAGGAATGAGTGTTGATGAGTTATGGGGGTTTCTTTTGGGGTGATGAAAACGTCCTGGTATTAGATAGTGGTGAGGGTGTGCAACTTCGTGAATATATTACTTGCCACTGGATTTTATGCTTTAAGAAAAGTGAATGGAGAAGAATGTGAGGTTGAGTGTTAATAGCGTATGAAGCCAAATACCAAGTCTGGTGTTAACAATGAGTGGAGCAGAATGTTGAGTCTAGTGTAAATCATAAGTGAAAGAGAGTGTAGCATCAACTCTTAATAGACAGGGGAGCAGGATGTTGAGTCTAACATAAGGAAAAGGAAGCAGATGTATCTGCTGTTACAATTGCACAGAGCAGAATGTGTTGTCACGTGGTAACAGTAAATGGGGTTTAGTTTCAAGCATTTATAGTGAATCTAGAAGAATGCAAAGTCTAGTGTTCATAGTGCAAAGGGCAGATTATTGAGTTTTAAGAGTGAATAGAGGCGACAGTGGTGTCTAGTGTTAATGGCAGATGAAGCCGAATGTCATCTCTCACATTAAATGTTAATGGAACATGAAATATCATGAAAACAAAACAAAGAAACAGTGGGGAGATTGTTCTAGATTAAAAGAGTAGCCATATACAGAGGCGCCTGGGTGGCTCAGTTGGTTAAATGGCTGCCTTCTGCTCAGGTCATGATCCCAGGGTGCTGGGATCGAGCCCCACATGGGGCTCCCTGCTTCGTGGGGAGCCTGCTTCTCCTTCTCCCTCTGCAGCTCCCCCTGCTTGTGCTCTCTCTGTCAAATAAATAAATAAACTTAAAAAAAATTTTTAAAAAAGAGTAACCATATACAATATGAATCTTGAGTGGATCCTTGATTGGATCCCTCACCATATTTACTGATGATGTTTTTTGACATTTGGGAAAACCTAAAGTTTCTTTATTAGATGATATTATGGAATTATTTCTAATTCAATAATTATTGATATAAAATTGATATATAATATATAAATATAATTGATATAAATATAATTATTATTGAACCAATGTTAACTTTTTTAGATGTGACAATATCATTGTGGTCCTTATTCCTTATTTAGAGATGGCTTGTCATGATGTCTGTAACCATTAAATGATTCAGCAGAAATTATGTCTACCTACCTACCTACCTACTTACCTACCTCCCTACCCACCCACCCACCTATTTATACAGAGAGAGAACTAAAGTAAATGTGGCAAGATGATAACAGTTGGAATCCAGGTGAAGGATATTAGAGTGATCATTGTATAGTCTTCCAACTTTTCCGTATCAAGACAGAATGTTAAATGAGGCATTAATTGGAAATGGTACAAATGTTGTATTTAGCATAAGGCTGAAGGGAGCAGAATATGGAGTCTGGCGTTAACGGTAGAGCTGAATGTTGTGTCTGCTGGTGAGTGATTAAAACAGAATGTGACTCAAACAGTAGTAGTGAACGTGGTAGAATGCAGGGCCTAGCGTTAGGAAAGAGTAAAGCAGAATGAGGCATCAAGCATTCATAGTGAAGGCAGCAGAATGTTGTACCTCACGTATGGGTGAATGGAGGAGTATGTGGTGTCTGGCATTAATAGTAAATGAAGCAGAACATTATGTCTAGTGTTAAAAGTGAATTAAGCAGAATGTGAGGTTTGGTGTTAACAGTGAAAGGAACAGAATGTTGCATTTATTGTAAGGGTGACTGGTGGAGAATTAGTGTCTGGTGTCAGTAATGAAGTGGAATGCTGTGTCTGGTGTTCGAAGAATGGAGCAGAATGTTGTGTCTAGCACAGAGTGAATGGAGCAGAATGTGTATCTGGCTTATATAGTGAATGGAGAGAAATGCTGTGTCTAGTGTTAATAGTGAGTGGAGTAGAGTATGGTTCAAGAGTGAATAGTGAAAATAGCAGGATGTGGTGTTGAACGTTAGAAATGTGGAAGAAGATTGAGGTATGGCAGAGAAAGGTTCACGTATGATGTTTGGGATGAGGCTGCAATCTTACAAAGGACCTACTTGCAAAGTTGGCCCTTGGTTGACAGCTGGGAACTTGGATTTTGGGAATGTTCCCACTTTCCGTAACTGATAAGGATGCCTACTGTGCCTAGACTGCCAATACCAACAATATGGATTGTGCTGAATGTCTGCTTTCCTTCTGGGAGTCCAGAGTTTTGCTATGTGCCAGGCAGAGGGGGCCTATGTGACCAGCACCCAATAAAAATCATCCATACTGAATCTTTTTTTTTTTAAAGATTTTATTTATTCATTTGAGACACAGAGATACAGAGAGAGAGAGCATGAACAGGGAGAGAGGCAGAGGGAGAGGGAGAAGCAGGCTCCCTGCTGAGCCAGGAGCCCGATGTGGGGCTCGATCCCAGGACTCTGGGATCATGACCTGAGCCGAAGGCAGACGCCCAACCATCTGAGCCACCCAGGCGCCCCATCCATACTGAATCTTAATGAACCTCAAAACAATGTCTCTATCTCCCTGGGCAGAAACATCCCACACATGTGACTGCCTTTTTATTGTTAGGGTAAGAATGTGCTCTGTGTGGTCCCTCATGGTGGGGAGAAAACCAGGAAGCCTGCAGATGGTTTCCTCCAGACCCTGACTGTGTCTTTTTACTTTATCACCTAGCTGTGTATTCTTTTTTTAAAATTTTATTTTTTTTATTTTTAGAGATTTTTTGTTTTTATTTTTTTCAAGGATTTATTCATTATAGAGAGAGAGAGAGAGAGAGAGTGAGTGAGTGCTCGAGCAGGGGGAGAAGCAGAGGGAGAGGGAGAGGGGAAGAAAACTCTATGCTGAGCGTGGAGCCTGATGTGGGGCTCCATCCCATGACCCTGAGATCATAACCTGAGTGAAACCAAGAGTCCCACGCTCAATGGACTGTGCCCCCGAGAGGCCCCCCTAGCTGTGTATCCTTAATGCAACACTGTAAGAAATCTTAGCCGTGAGTACAATGATATGCTGAGTCCTGTGAGTTGTATCAAATCTCTGAACGTGGGGGTGGTCTTGGAGACCCCCACCACAAAGCATCTACCGTTAATGGTAAAAGGAGAGGATGTTGTATTTAGCACTAAAAGTGAATGGAGGAGGAGGTGGAGTTGAGTGTGAATAGTAAGTGAAGCAGGATGTATGCGGAATGTTGGTAGAGAATGGAGCAAAACCTGGGGTTTTGGCAACTGTATACAACATAGTGTTCAGTCTGGAGGAGAGGTTTGATGCATCAGAATGCTGGATCCTGCCAAGTGCAGCAGATGAAGACAGAGTGACTAATTCCTTATGCTCCCTTTATCTCAGGCAGGTAGGGAGATGAGTGTCCTTCTTTGTCCAGGTGTTCTGTGCTCTTGGGCAGTAGGACTTACCTTGGGCAGGGATGCTCGGGAGCCAGAGCTCTGGGTGGTCATGGTGAGCACAGTGGTGATGCCCAGGCCCACACGGGCTGGTGCGGCATCCATGTTGATCCAGAAGGAAATCCATGAGAGGATGACAATGAGTAGGCTGGGAATGTACATTTGGATCAGGTAGTAGCCCATCTGCCGCTCCAGGTGGAACCGGGCCTCAATGCAGGTGAATTTACCTGTAAGAAGTTAGAGTGAGAAGGCAAAGTAGCCTGGTGGGTAGGAACATGACTCTGAGGTCAGAACAACCTCAGCTGGAGTCCTGGTTCCGCCTCACACTAGCTGTGTCCTCAGGCAAGTGATTGGATCTCTCTGTGTCTCCGTTTCCTCATCTGTGGAAAATTGGGGATGATGATGATGATGATGATGATGATACCTACCTCACATGGCTACCTGCGTGGTTACTGTGAGTATAAAATGAGATGATGCCTATAAAGAACTTCGCACGGTCCTCACATCATTTATGCTCAGGGATGTCAATTGCCATCATCCTCATCAGCCCTGTTTTGTTGCTAAGAGTGGGCCTCAATGGATCAGTTATCTTCCCAAAACATGACTTGATCCTGTTACTTCCTCTTGTGAAAACTTTCTTTCCTTCCTTCTCTCCTTATACCAGAAAGTCCCCATTATCTACAGGGAAAAGTTCAAACTTTTCAGTCTGCTCTTCATAGTCATGCTCTGGCCTGTTTTTCCATCCCACTTCCCTTCTTTCTTCACCCTAATCATGAGCCCCTCCACTCTATCCCTTGCCTTAAGCATGTCCTGCACTTTGACCTTTCTGAGCTTTGGCTCCTGCTAATCCCTCTGCCTGGGATGCCGGGACTCTTCCCCACAACCAGCCAAAGCAACCCTCCAGCTCCTCCGCGGTGCTTTGAATGTCAAGTCTGCCCAGGCAGAATGACTCTTCTCCCCCGTGAGTTCCTTCAGTTCTGTTCATGCAGTCATCGGGCCTTTAGGGCATGATGTACTGAGGATGTAGGTACATCGGTCTGTCTCTCCTCTGCAATGGCCTGCGGGCAGCTGGTCTCCTCCCCCTCTGTGCTTGCCTGGAACTGGGGCGGGGCCGGTCCCATGGAGGGGGCTGGTTCTCAGCTCCAGCCCCCTGCAGCGCGGTTATTAGGGGAGTTCCTAGAGCTCCCTGGACTGGCTGCCCTGTGTGGGCAGGGCCTCGTCAGCCTCTCCCCCTCGAATCCACAGGGCCTAGCACAGAACTCAGCTCTCACTGAAGTGGGAATAGTGAAGAGCGAATGAGATCATGAATAAGAAAACGCTGTGTGAACAGTTTCGGGCTGTGGTACGCGAGTCAGTGTGACTGTGTGATCCGTGGGAAGTCACTGCTCTCATGGCTGCTAATGGGAGTCCCATGACCTCTCTGCATCTCAGCATGCCCAGGGATCAGGAGAGTATCTCTGGAGGTTCTGAGGCATCTCGGAGGTGACCCAGGAAGGGGCAGCTGTCCTCAACAGACCAGAGCCCAGGCTGCCTGCCCTTGCCCTGGGCCTTCTACTTGCAGCAGAGCACCCAGTGATTTCTCTCAACCCCCCTGCTTCACGTCCTCCCCTCCCTGGCCCCTGTCAGCAGCCTCTTCCATGCCTCCACTCTCCTCAGCTGGGCTCAGCAGCAGCCTCCTGCCCAGCCCTCCAACTTGCGTACTGACTGACTGCCTTTCTTCCGCTGTGGCTGCGTGAGCTCCTTCCCAGCCTGCGGCAGGGCAGGCAAGGCCAGTCTTGGTACGACCCCAGTTCATTCCTGCATCCCATCTTCCCACAAAGGCTGTGCTATGCCTGGGAGACAGCTGAGCAGAACAGCCGTGGCTTCTTCCCCCTCTTGCAGCTTGCAGTCTAGGGGGACCCTTTCCAACTGCACTGTTTACGAACCTCAGTGCCACCTCTCAGCTTCCTCCTGCTGGGGTCTGACGAGAGCACTCTGTGTACTGTGTCCTGTCAGAAATGTAAGTTCCCCTGTGACCGACACTGCTAGATGTCCTAATAGCAGCTCCTCCCTTCCGCCTTGGGAATAGGATTCATTTTGACCTGGGCATGCTGCTACCTGGAATGAAGACTGTGTCTCCCAGCTTCCCTTGCAGTGAGCTATGGCCTGAGCTTTACTTATGTGCCCTAGGACATCTGGGAAGAAAGTATCAGAGTTTCAAAGACTATGCTCTTAACCACTAGGTAGTAAACACAGAACTGTGTCCATCACGGGCACCTCATAAGATCTATTGGATCAAAGGCTGAATGAATGTTTGGACCTACCTGTGTTGTAATGCTTTGTGCAGTATCTCAAGTCCTTCTCCTCTTTCAGGATAAACTGGGGTAGAGTTAGTCCATCTGCCACCTGCACAGCTCCCTGCTCCTGCCACTCGAAGATCAGGTCATTCATGGTATATCCAACTGGGATGGGGGATCAGAAGAAGGAGTGGTCACCACCCAGAAGCACTTATTTGAGGCATGTCAGAGTTGGTTTGGCTTAGAGACTGAGAGGCATCAGGTACTAGAGGGAATGCATGAGACCATGTTGCCTCACCACCACCCCTCCTGACTCCTCTTCCACCCTCTCCCCACCTCCCCTGCAACCAAGGAGGTTAAAACAGGTTTTATTGTTTATATCAACCCCCCTGCCTTCTACCTCCCTTCCTGCCCCTCCCACCATCCTATATTGGCTTGTCCTTTTGCCTCCACCTCTTACCCCTGTGGTCCTAGTCAGTTCACATCTGCTATTTGGCCTGCGTACCATCCTTGCAAGCTCCCTGCTCTGCTCACAGCAGCTTTTCCTCTGGGGAATGACTCTACAGAATACTGTTGTGGGACTATCAGCTGGGGGCCAAGGTGTTAGATAATGACTCAACTAGACCAGTCAGACGCTCTGTCCCAGGACTTGACTCTTGAGTCAAGTGACAGAAGGTTCAGGAGTTGGCTGGTGCCAATTCCCTTCAGATGTGGTGCTCCACCTAAATCCTCTGCCCTGGTTCCTGTACTTTCAGCTTCTCTTTCAAGTCCGTGAGGAAGCCCTATGTCCTTCCCTTGAATTCCACCTTTTAAATTAGATTGGTTTCTGTTTGCAGTCAAAGAAGTCAGCTCCCTCCTCTAGTAGGTTCACTTGTGACCTCCGACATAAAGCCCTCTCCAGTGCCCCCTCCCTTTCCCAGTCAGAAGGAAGCACTCTTTCTGCCAGGAGTCACAGCATTCAGACTTCCAACAACACACTTACCACCTGCTGCCCTGTGTTAGAGTTATTTGTGCAGCTAGCTGTCTGTCTCTCTAGCTGCAGGGAGCATCCCTGTGAGTTCAGGGACCGTGACTTATTCAAGCTCTTTCTCCTCTGTTCCTGGAGAGCATATTCACAAGGGACATGGAACAGTGCCTCTTGGGAGAATACTGCTGGCTCCAAAGCTGGGCCTCAGCCAGCCAGTAAGGGGGTTTAGATTTCTAATGCATTTTCGAAAGCGAAGCCCCCCATCTGGTATTTTGGGTTCAGACAGTCATCTCGTGGGGTCCAGCAGTTAGGAGCAGCTGTATGGGAATTTCTGCAGGTCCCATGGGTAAAGGGGAGTCTGGTTCTTTCTAAAGCCCTCATGCAAGGGACTCACAGCTTTCCAGTTGCATGATACACGTCTGGACATCCATGGGGAAATTCTTCAAGTCCATGGGGCAGGCCAGTGTTAGGGTGATTCTGAGAAGAGAAGGGAGTTGAATGATGCTAGAGCCACAGACCAGGGAAGCTGTACCTCCATTCTAGTTATTACCAGAAAATCAGTAATCTTGGACAGGTCAAGGAGGTCAGGGAACTAGTGTTTATTGAAATAATATATGTATATTTCTACATTCCAGATATGGAAATGGAGGCTCAGAGAGATACAGTAGGTTGCCTAAAGTCATACAGTCAGTGGAACTTCTGGGTTTCCGTGGAGTCTGTCTGACTTCTAGACATCTGCTTTCAGCAAGGGAAATGAAGGCCTGGAGGACAGGCACTGCCCCTGATCCCTACTCTTCTGCAGAGGCTGAATTCCAAGATGAGCAGCCCCAGGCCTCAGGCATCCAGATGCACTTGCAGCAGGGGCTTCAAGTGGTTCTTTGCTGCCTCCCTTCATACACTGGACTCATCAAACGTTATTTTAAAGAGGCCCTTGCCTTCTGGGTGTCCAAACAGAGCTGGCTCACACCTGTGGGCTCGTGCTGGGGTCAGTTGGGAAGTGGTGGGTGCCCCAGGCTTCTGGGAGAGCTGTCTATTTTGGTTTGTTCCACTCTTGCCGAGGCTGAGCCTTAGAACCAGAGGGAGTCCCCCAACAGAAGCAAGGTCCACAGTTCAGGCTAGGATGCAAGGCTTCAGCTTCAAAGGCTGTGCCCACATCGGAGCACCTGCTGCAGAGAATAGAGAAGAAAGGCTCTCAGAGCCCAAAGAGGCTTAGATCATCAGACCAACTCCTTCATTTGACAGTTGAGAAAACTGAGGTGCAGAGAAAGATTGGTCAGGACTCTTGCAAGGTCACACAGCGCGTGATGGCTCAAAGGCCGGATTCAGAACTGTGTTTCCTGGCCATTGGATTCTGAGCTCATGTGTTTACTTTCCGACTCTGCTCTCCTGGAAAGCGTTTCATTGGTGGTGGTCTAGGGACACTCGGCTGCCAGCACCTTACTGCACATGGTGAGCACACGGCCCTGTGTCAGCCTCCTCCCCCCAGCTCACACCCACTGCTCTGGGTTTGGGCCCCATTTAAGCACAAGGTACAAGCAAGTGGGGGGAAAAGGGAAGGGAGGGGGAGGGGGAAAGTGAAGAGAAAGTGAACAGAGTTGAATTTCTGAAGATAAAAGCTCCAAAGTAGGGCAGCTGTCACACTAGGTTAATTTTCTGAAGTTGAATGACCTTGGGAACATCACTTTCTGCTGATTTGTCCTTCTGTCATGCTGCATGGGGCTTAGCTTTGTAGAGATACCAAACCAGCCTGGCAGCAGCAAAATCCAGCAGAGCAACCTCTCCTGCCCCAGCCATTAGGGCACTGGTGGTCATCCCGAGCCCACCACCCTTCCATCTGGATGTGCACTGGCAGGATGGGCTCCAGGGTGAGGAAGGCACGTCCTCTCCTCAGTGCCTCCTTTCCCTGCTGAGGTTCTTAAGTCCCCTCTCCCACCTGGCCTGCTTGCAGGAGTCACCCTGAGTCCAGTCACATCTGAAGGTTAGGATGGTTGCAGCCTCGCCTATGGGCCTGGACATTTAAATGTTCATCTCCTAATGGAAACAGAAAGATTTATTCCCCGAAGAACTGGAGGGGGAGGAGGAGTCATTTAGGGCCAGTGTCCCTTTGAAGCTCTTTGAAATAAACACATACTCATTCATTCATCAAATGAGTGCCTATTGAATGCCGGGCACTGTTCTGCTAGGCTCTGAGTGGGCATCGGATGCACACCAACAGATTGGAATCGGGGCTGTGCTACTGGGTGGCTGTGGGAACTTTAGCAAGTCACTTAAATTTTCAGATCTTCACTTGTCTGATCTGCAAAATGGGCGTAATAGAAACTATTTCATGGAATTGTTAGGAGGATTACAAATAATATATGTAAAATACCCAGCCTAATCAGTAAATTCTCAGTGAATGCTACATATGTAAGAATCTAGCATGGACGTTGGTCATTTTCTCCATGACTTGGGGGTAGGAATGGGTAATTACATGGGAAGAGTTGGCAGGAGACTCTGAAAGTTTGCCCCTAACCAGTATCTGCAGGATACCTCCCAGCTGGGAAGGGGGTCCCAGCTTCCTAGACTCAGTGCAAGGTATGGAGGATGGAAGGGGTTCATGGAAGGGAGGGAGCAGCCCTGGCTTGTACCTGTGAGTAGCCTGGCAGGCCCATTTTTGTTGAAGCTGCTACGACTTTTCAGGCTTTGTGCCTTTGCTCCTACTATTTTTTTTTTAATTGTGATAAGAACATTTAACATGAGATCTAGCCTTTTAACAAATGTTTATGGGTACAATATAGTATTGTTAACTCTAGGCACAATGTTGAACAGCAGCTGTCTAGAACTTATTCATCTTGAGTAACTGAACACCCCTGCTACTGAGCACTGTCTTTGAATACTCTTTTCCCTTCTTGTTTTATTGAAATGCTGGGTAAGCTTAGGGGCCTAACCTTAACCCCTCTGTCTCTAAGATGCTTCCTCGGTTCCCCTGGTTATAACGAACCACTCACCCCTAGGACTTCGCCCAGTATGTTATTCTTACTCCCTGAGTATAATCTACAGAGCTGGCTCTGCACATTGTGCAAAGGTGTGGGGTTGCCCGGGCCTGTGCACCCGTGGTTGGCCCACCTCTTAGCGTCTGCCCCCAGGAGGCCATGGGACCAGGTGCATCCTGAGGAGGATGGCAGGGTGAACCTGTGTGGAGCTCACCTGATGCTGTAGAGGACATTTCCATTCCGGGAGATCCTCAGCAGTTTGTTGTCAGTGGTGATCTCGTGGAAGTGGGCCCCCTTCTCGTTGGCGAAGAACAGGTCAGGCTTCCAGATGGAATCCAACATGGATGGGTCCAGGTCCAGAGAGTCATCCGGGTATTCATTGTAGGCCAGCCGGGGGTCATTCCACTGCTGCCTCAGGAAGATGTTGACCCTATAGTCCTACAGCCAGGAGATAAGGAGGTGGAGTCAGGGTCAGGCCCCGGATGTCCGCTCTTGGAGGGCCCGGATGCTTTCGGTCAGTGCTCCCTGAAGTCCCTTTTGGAGAATTATGAGGATGGTTGCAGCTTATGTGGGTGAGACATAAAGTCTGTGCCTCAGGAAAAAAGTCAGGGGATTCATCCCTGAAAATCCTCTCCATGCCCTATGAAGTATATTCAGCTCTGAACTGAGATTATTTAAATGGTATTCTTTTGAAAAAATTTAAAAATAAAGTTCCACCTGATAATAATAAACACCTGTTTTCATCCTAGTGACATTTTGTCACGTTTGCTTCATGTTTTTGACTAGAGAAATAGCACATCCCAGATAAAGTTGAAGTCCCCCTTTTATTATGGAGGCTGTCAGGGCAGTAATTCTCATGCACAGTGAAGTTTGAGAATCACTCTTCCAGGTAGATTGACGGAGCAAAAGGAGAGGCTGAAAGCTGCTGCCTGAGCATTCAAACTGTTCTGCTTGAAGAAAACAATTAATTCCCAAGCAGTGAAGGAAGGATGGGTGAATTCTGCGGTGCTCCTCCTGGTCCTAGAGTTCATACCACTCTGTTTCAATCCCAACCTTATGCAACCTTCTATCACACATGTTGATTTATTTGTTTGGGGAGGATTTCCTTTTTAATTTTTTTCCTAATGTAAACTCTACACGCAACGTGGGGCTTGAGCTTTTATGCCCTCAAGATCAAGAGTCGCATGCCCTACTGACTGAGCCAGCCAGGCGCCCCTGGGGAGGATTAATAGACGTGGAGTCACATCTTACTGGGTTCTAAACTCAGTGCTAAGTCTAATGCTTCTCGGATGGGACTGCAGTGTAGTTATTCTGCTGGAAAAAAAGTCATGATCAAACCAATTAGGGAAATGTTGGACTAAACCAAATGCAACTGATTTTTTTATTGCGGGAGTTCTTGGAGACCATAATATGCTAATTATTTGTATGTATCTCCAAGAGGGGAATAGAATATATATTTCCCTGATTTATTTTGAGTACAGAACTCTTGCATCTTGTGCATGATGCTTGCCTTCTACAGAATGTATGTAGGAATTGCCGGCCTAGTCAAAACTCCCTCCCCCACCCCCCACCTTGGTTTCTTTTCTGGATGGAGAAACTGAAGTCCAGAGAGTTAAGACTGACCCAGGATCACTCTGAAAAGGCAGGTCAGAGCTGACTGTGGAGTGCAAGAGTCCTGACTCCTAGCTGAGGATTTGTTCAGCTGGTCCTAGGATTGCTGAAAGAGTCCATTCAGCAACCAATCACAGTCTGAGAAGCAGTTAGTGGTATGGGTAGGTCTCCATGCCAGGAAAGTGGGTCATGAAGTTAAGAAATATTTTCATGAAGAAATGTTTTCGATTTTGTTAGGGAGGCATTGTAAACCTGGGATCTATGAATATTATGATACTGTAAGTAGAATTTGGGGTTTATTTGTGTTTTCCCAGGAAGAAGAACGTGGCTGTCTATGTTGGATTCTCAAAAGGGTCTGTAGTTCCCCAAAAGATCAATAACCTCGGTTCAAGTCCAACTCAGACTGCTGTCCTTCCAGGAATCATCTCCACACAGGAGTGCCTGCTGCCTCCCCTGAAGGTGCTGGAGAAATGAGGTCATGCTACATTTTCTCTTCCTAATCACTCTCGATCTGTCATCAGCAGGGATGGACTAAAACAAACAACCCTCCTCGCCACCCTCACCCTCACCCCTACCAGTTCCCCCCACAGTACGTGCCTCATTCTGTTTGCCTGCAGAAATATCAATAGCTTCATAAAGTGTTCCAAGGTATTTTATAGGATTGTGCTATAATTTAATTGAAGCCTCTCCCTCCAGCCCCATAGAAAATGACATTTGGTCTCATAATCTCATGTCTTGTAAGTCCATTGGTGGAGGGAGGACTCTAGGCCAGACCTGGATGTTGATACTTGGTCTTTCCTGCTGACAGTAATGGACAGCTCCCAATCTGGCCACCCCTTACGGGGGAATTAGAAGTAGCCTCTCTTTCTCTCTTCAATTTTATGTGGAGTGTGTGTGTGTGTGTGTGTGTGTGTGTGTGTGTGTGTGATGGGGCACTGGGCAAGTCATGTCATAGGAAACAGACCATGAGTGGTGGGGCAGGAAAAGCCTCCAGTCCCCAAACCCCAGCTGCGCTTTTGAGGTTCTTGACAGTGACATGTCAATCCTGTTTATGTGGCTGGAAGGAAGAAAAGAAAGTGGCATTTCTTAAAATGGTCTGTTAGGTACCAGGCGCCGTTCTAGATACTGTCTCACACACTTAATCCTCGCAAAACCCCTGCAAACTAGACATCCAAGTTCCCGTAGTGAGGGGAAGGGGACCGAGGTTTGGAAAGGTTGTGAAACTTGTCCAAGGCCCAGAGCTAGTAAGTGGCAGAGCTGGGCTCTGAAGGCCCGTCAGCCCCACCCGCCTTTCCGTCCCACAGGGGCGGATAGCCAGCTGGGTGCTGGGGATACTCCTCTCTCCTCCTCGTTGCCTCCGTGAATTCTGCCTGCTCAGCTTCAGCTTCTGCCCCCAGGCTTCCATGGCCTCTTCCTTTTCTGATCTCCCAGCAAAACAGAATCACTGTATGTGTCTTATCTCCTCCACTTGATCAGCAACAGTTTGAGAGGATGAACCTGACCTTACATTTCTCCTGCACCGTCTCACCTACCCACCCAGTCAGTGTACCTAGGAGCCACCCAATACCCAGAGGGAGGAGGAGGCAAAGCCAGAAAAAGTTCACGCAAGAAGAGCTTTCCTCATTTGAGAGTGGAGAGCCTGAGACCCAGAGAGGGAAGGCATTTTCTAAGGTCAAATAGCAATTCAGTAAAGGACCCACGATTGGAACCTGAATTTGCGTCTCTAGTGTTAAAAGGAGTTAGGATAGATGATCTCAAAGAACCCTTCCAAATCGAATAGCTAATTGCTACTAGTTTAATTTTTTCCGGCAACATTTAACTGAGCATCTACTGAGTGCTAGGCACTGTTCTAGGCAATGGAGGATCTGCCGAGAACAAGAAAGACATATTCTTGCAGCCACAGAGCCTAAGTGTAATGCTGACAGCACACGGACATAAGGGCTCCCATAAGGATTAAGTATAGGGTGCCAGGGAGGTGTAGAAGACAGGCCCTCCCGCTAGACTGGGGGCTGGTGGTCAGGGAAGGCTCCAGAAGAAGTGATACTCAAGGTCAGACCAGATATGGTTGAGCCAAAGAAGACAAGCCCTCTGGGGCAGGAGGAACTGCATATTGGAAGGCCTAGAGGCAAAGCAGGGCGTAGCCCTTTGGAAAGGAGAGCAAGCAGATGAGAAAGGGGAGGACCATTTGCAGGGCCTCGCGAACTGCCCTGAGGAATTTCGGCTTCATCCTGAGAGTCATGTGGAGCCTTTGAAGAATTTTAACTAGGGGAGGACATTATTACGTTTGCATTTTATGACTGATATTTAAAAAATATTTTTTCTTATTATAAAAGTAAATGCATGTTGATGGTAAAAAAAGGTAAAGGCACATCCCTTAAAAGAAGAAAAACAAAGCAGAAGCCATAGGGTCTCGTGATGAAATGGCTGATGAAAAGTGAGAGCAGGAGACCTGGAGGATGTATCTGGTGTCCTCGGGCAGCTTGACTCCTCCTCCCGGCAGCCCCCGCTCTGCCCGCAGCAGCTGCTGCCCAAAGAAGCTGTTGCATCGATTTTCTCCCCTCTGGTTGGGAAACGGCAGTAGGAAATGCAGTTTGGAGGTGATCGATGTAATTGGTGTAATAGGCTGAAGGCTAAAGGCTGTTTTGCTTAGTTAGCCCTGCAATCACACTGGTCAGTGTTCGACATGCTGGGGGGCCCTGTTCAGGTTCAGGGGCCAGAGGAGCAACATTTGAGTTCTCTACCCTAGAACCTCAGGCTCCAGCTCCGGTAGTTGGCTTCCAGGTCTCAAGCTCTCAAGGGTGGCCCATCTAAGTCTGAGGTGGGAGGGATTTCCAGAACTCTAGCTCAATAGTCTTTAGCATCAACTCACCCATCCTCCCTGTGAAGAGTCCCTGATGGTCTGCTTTCTGGTACCTGGGCAGCTACCTTGCTTCTAAGACCAAGGCAGAGCATTAATCCCTTCATTCACTCATTCTGTCATTCAATAAACATTTATTGGCCGCTTTCTGTGTGCCACCTGCAGTGGGATCTGCCCCCCACTGCCACCCCCACTGTGTCTAATTTCAGATTCTAACCTTTTCCAGTAAGCTCCTCTAAACTCAGTACTGTGGCAAAAGAGGAAGCATGAAGCGTTTTAGTAGGAAAGAGCCTGTGTGAGTGTGCTGGTGAGAAGGGGATGTGGTGGGCAGGATGTTGTTACCATTGCAGTCAGAGCCAAGAGACAGCGCCCAAGCCCTGGACAAAGAACCAGATTCTTAGACCTTCCTAGGTCTCAGCATTCTGGCTCTCAAGGGATGTCTCTTCTCTAGACTCTTTTCTACTCTATAAACGTGTATTAGGCCTAGAATGGTGACGATGGAAGCATAAGGTCTTGGTTTCTATCCTCAGACAGTTCAAATTATCTAGCGGGCGAGGCAAGATATGGACACAAATATCTACCATACAAAGCTGACAGTGACAGAGGTCAAAGGGGTTTTAAAACATTGCTATTAGATATTGCTCTCAAGCCACTGAGATAGTTTCCAGCCAGGTTGGATGAATCTGGAAAAGCTTTCAGAGAGAAGGTGACATTGGAAATAGCCCCCCCGCCTTTTTTTAAGATTTTATTTATTTATTTGACAGAGAGAGCAGCAGAGGGAGAGGGAGAAGCAGATTCCCTGCTGAGCAGGGAGCCCAATGTGGGACTCAATTCCAGGACCCTGGGATCATGACCCGAGCTGAAGGCAGATGCTTAACCGACTGAGCCACCCAGGGGTTCCAGGAAATAGCCCCTTTCAGTTGGCCTCATCTTACTGAAGTTAGCATCTCTAGGTCTGGTGTTGTTCTGA